GTAGACGGTATATTATCTTTTGAACAAACAGGCCGGTTTCTCATGGCCCATGATATGAGTTATGAAGCTGTCAATCTTCATTGGAAGGACTGTCAATGCTGAGACTATCTCATCACAATGTCCTAGAACATTGATACCACATTATCTACCTCAACAAAGTAAATGTCCTAGATTTTGTGGGGTATCCTCCATTATACTGTAGCTGAGAGTGATTCTCGACCGGTCTAGAAATGTACTGTCTGCGGTTATAGTCCGAGGTCACCGAATGTCGCCTTCGTGTGCCCTGGCTTGATACTCGGGAACACCGACAAGGTTATTCGTCTCATTGACCTGGGAAGTCTGCCTTTTGGTAGAGTAATTGGAGTTAACCGCTAGAATATAGGTTTTCGGTGTTTCGTAAACTTCCCCTGCTTAAATCGGTCCTCTAGATCCTCAATCGGTGGTATGTAAACCTCCACAACTCGCTACCACGGCTCTGATACTCTGGATCTAGGAATGCGAGTCCATTTATGATGGTAGTTTTCGGCGAACCGGACGAAGGAACCGAGGACATGCACACAAAACCAAAGCTTGTCTCTGCTGGTTCTTGAGCTGATAGGTTGAACTTGCAGGAGAAAGCTTGAACTCGGGATAGGTTCTTTGAGTACCCCAGCCAGAGCATTGTTCTCTATCCAATAACTCCATCTACTCTTCACTCTTCTATATGATTCTCGATATCCATAACTTCGGCGTTAAGAATATCTGTGTTGCCGATTTGTTTTTTTTTTTTTTTGTTTGAACGGAGTCAATATCGACGTAAGTGAGTGAGCTTCTTTTGAATGGATATATTCTAGTTATAGCTAACATCCATTGTCTGGTGAGGTTACTCTCTTAGTTATTCCTCAGCCTATTGAGGATTCAAGGCTGGGATATGTCCTTACCACCCGATGTCAACGACCACAGCGATTGGAGAGTCATCTACAAGGATGACAATGGCAAGAAACAAGACCAATTGTCTCACAACAGACAAACCCTCGCAAGAACATTGTCAATCCCCAAGACTATGTGCATCCTGTCCGACACCAAAACTGAGATATCAACGGTAGCCGAGCTACCCTCACCAAAGCTGAAGCTACCCCAACTGGGCAATGATTCAGCCGAAAGAATCTTTCCAGTTCGCTCAGCCCTTTCCTTTGATTCGACCCCTTCGTCCGCACTGCCGACCCCTTCTACTGAGAAGCTCGAAACACCAATATCACCCTTCTCGGATACATGGACCGGCAACTTCAGCAACGAAAATGCTAATTTCCAGCCGACAATTGCTGCTGTAAAGGAAAGCATTGGCCAGGAAGCCCTTAAGCGACCGGATTCTCTTGCCAAGCTGCATAAAAGCAGCAATTGTGAGACTGGTTATTCACCAGCATCTAAGAAACAAGATCAAGAAGACGAGCATTCACTGGATGATCCGACTATACCTCATACCTTCAGAGATAACATACCGAGCGCCAATATTCTGAGACAATTACAAAACGCCGTCGAAAGCGGTGGCGATGTCCTTGGTGCTTACAGACCGACAAATGGGCTACAATATTCAAAGCAAGATGAAGAAGCCATTGCCATCCAGCCATTTGGCGCACTCATCGTGCTGGCAGAGTTAAATGGAAAGTTCGAGGTGCAAATAGCCAGCAACAACTCCTCCAAAATCATTGGATATTCGCCAGACGAGCTTTTTGAACTCGATTCATTTTGCGATATCTTGTCTACTTGGCACATTGATACTTTCCTCGATCATGTCAACTTTGTTCTGGATGACCAGTATGAAGTTGTGGAATATGGGCCTGAGATTTTCCTGATGACCTTTTTTCTTCGCGAAAGGCTCAGCCAAAGTGTGTGGTGTACTATGCATACTAGCAAAGCATATAAAACCTATGTCATCTGCGAGATTCAGCCCACCATGGCTTCTGGCTCCCCTACAAAAGCAACCCAAATAGTCCACCAGTTCGAGAGACATGCACAAACATCGGAAGCAAGCTGTACAGATCTCGCCCCTCATGGGGATCCGAGGAAACTTGCTACCCCAAAGGAGGATGGTCGCTCAACCGAAATCAACGTCACAGATTCCTCGGAGGTTCTCAATGTCATTCCTCGCATTCTGCAGCAGCTGGCCAAGTCTCAGACGGTAGAAACACTTGTTCAGAGTACCGTCGCGACCTTGCAAAAGCTTACTCAATTTTCACGAACTACTATATTTCATTTCGAAGAAAATTGCAATGGAACGGTGGTTGCCGATGCTTTTGACTCTTCACTGAGTTTGACTTCATTTACGGGCACCTCCTTTCCCGAGTCAACGTTCCCTGAGCAATTGAGGAAACGATATATGCGGAATACTGTTTGCCTCTCTTACGCCAGAACCAACCAATCTGCAGAGCTTGTCTACCGCGCCTCCACAAATAAACATGCACTTGATATGTCGCATACCTATCTCTCTGCGGCACCAACATCCCTGAAGCCGAGTTCCGGTCCTCCTGTCAAAGCTTGTCTGTCAATTGGAATCAATGTTTCCGGCAGGCTTTGGGGATTGATATCATGTCAGTCATACGAGGCAGACAAAACACTGCACCCAATCGTTCAGAAAGTATGCTGGTTCGTGGCAGAAGCGGCTTCAAACAACATTCAGCGCCTATCTTTTGCTCTTCCCATTGCATTGAAAGAACCACACATATCTTCAAATAATAAAAACAGCCCCCAAGCTGCCAATACCCCGTCAGGTGATCTGCTCAGTCTATTTGGGGCGGACTACGCTGCGGCATCTATCATGGGAGAGAGCAAGATATTGGGCAGACCGGCCGATTCTCAAGAAGTGCTGGCAGTACTGGAATACATGAAAGCCAAAGGGATTGATACGGTACTCTCATCGACAAATATCACATCCGACTTTCAGGACCTAAATTACTACCGTGGCTTTCATTGTATATCTGGTCTGTTGTATGTTCCACTTTCAGTGGATGGACATGATTTCATCATGTTCTTTCGGGCTGATTCGGGATGTAACACGCCCCGTGACCATGAGAATGAATCAATATGGTCTGCGGCAGAGTTCGAAAAGGCTTCTTCGCTGTCGTTGCTGTACCGAACTTTCAGTGAGATCTGGCAAGAACAGGAGGCGGCGATGCAGAACAATCAGCTGATGAGGTTACTGCTTGCCAACTCAGCACACGAGTTCAGGACACCTCTCAACGCTATAATAAACTACTTGGAGATTGTCCTTGATGGATCCCTGGACCAAGAAACACGAGATCACATATCCAGATCTCACTCGGCTTCCAAGTCATTGGTCTATATCATCAATGATCTGCTAGACCTGACGAACGCCGAAAATGGACAGCGGCTGATAAAAGACGAGATATTCAATCTACCTGAGACTCTCACAGAGGCAACGGACATCTTCTGGGAAGAGGCAAGACAAAAGCACGTCGACCTGCAGGTTGTACAACATGCAGCACTACCACCTGTCCTCGGAGACCAACGACGAGTGCGTCAGGTCATCACCAACTTGATCAGCAATGCTATCCAGCACACTGCATCAGGCGCGCTCACCATCGAGTCCTGTGTTGTCCCTGAGGACGTGGATCCCGATCATATATCTGTCGAGGTTGCGATCCATGATACCGGGTCTGGTATGTCCCAAGAGACCGTTGAAACATTGTTCTGTGAGCTGGAACAAGTCTCCAATAAGGGATATATGAAGACACCAAAGTCGTATGGATGCACACCCATTGGCACACCAGTGGAAATAGAAAGCGTACTTGGACTCGGTCTCGCACTGGTTGCTCGGATTGTGCGCAACATGAACGGGCAGCTAAGCCTAAGATCTGAAGAAGGCAAAGGGAGTTGTTTCAAGATCAGACTCAAGTTCCCACTTCCAGCGGAAAATTCGGACGATCAAGCTACCTCTTTTGTTTCAGCTAGTTCTCAGCCAAGACAGAAAGGAGAAAAGGAAGAAAAAACATCAAGGTCATGCACAAACAACCAGAAAGATGGAATCCCGTGTGAATGTGGCACTACACCTGAATTCACAGGAGGATCAATCCTAGATGTCGACGTCTGTCTAGAAACAGGAGAATCAAAAAAATTCTCGCTTTCATGCCCAGAGTTTAAAGCAAGCAAAGCGCCACAGGAGATACATCGCAAGACCTCCCCTCTCCCAACGCCACCACATTCCCCGGAGGTATCGAAGCCGCCAGCCACCGCGTCACCAGCCAACAAAACCCAAAGCTTCGACCAGGAAAACTCCACCATGGATGCCACGCTCCACGTTCTGGTCGCTGAAGACGACCCGATCAATAGTACAATACTGCGAAAGCGTCTGGAGAAGTTCGGCCATACAATCGATATGACAACAAACGGCAAGGAATGCGCTTCTGTCTACAAGAGCAACCCTAAACTCTACAGTGCCATCCTGATGGATCTGCAGGTAAGCTTTACTTTCATCCACTCCATTTGGAATTCATAGCTAATCCCGCCTTACTAGATGCCCATTGTGGACGGCCTGAGCGCCACGAAGATGATCCGTGAACATGAACAGGCGATGACTTCTTCTGGCTTGCCTGAGACTCGTGTTCCTATCTTTGCAGTCTCGGCTTCTCTTTTAGAGAAAGACCGTGAAATGTATGTTCAGTCCGGGTTTGATGGGTGGGTTATGAAGCCGATTGATTTCCACCGCGTGAATCTTTTGCTTGGGGGTGTGAGGATTAAGTGGATGCGGAATAGGTGTGTTTATCAGCCTGGGATTTGGGAGCAAGGAGGTTGGTTCAAAGAGGTTTAGTTTGAGCGAGAGATCAACGTGGTTTCAATAGGGCTCAGCGAGTATTTCCCTGCTTCGTTCAGTGGATACGGATGAAACTACACACTCCTCACGATGAAAGCCATCAAAATGCATAATATGCGAGAATTCTAAATCAAGTCCATGGTATCAAGAAAATGCAAGCAAACGCAAAATAAACGGAAACATTATCATCACTTCAGTAATACTCCGGCAGGTCGGAGAAGTCAGGTACAGTATCACCGCACTTGAAAGTTGGCGAGTATGCCTTGCTGGGCATAAATCCATTTTTCCATGCCGTGCGGTAACTCCACTGTGCTGCGGACTCAGTGCGCCATGTCCAGTAGAACCAACCCATGGCTGTTTCAAAGGCAGACATCTGTGCCTCTGCATACGTCAATAAGAACTTTTTGTACGAGTCTGAGTATTCGGACGGGTCCTTGTTTGCATCGGCGCAGCTGCAGGTTCCTTCGTCGGCGGTTGGGCAATACGCTGTTGAGTCGCCCGTGTCGTATGTCCCTTCCCAGCGAGTGCCACGGCCGACATTATTAACGTATTGACCACAGTCTGTGTCGGCTTGAGACCATTCGCCACATATGGTAGGGCCCCATCTGTTTGTATATTAGCTTTGTAAAGAAAGGGAAAGGGGCTCAGCTTACCCAGAACTTGTCGTGTTGATCTTCTTGAGCATGGGGGCCCAATTTTTGCAGATGATTTCGACCTTGGCGGTATGGTTCAACACAATCTCGCCTGTGTTGAAGGTAGTGTACTGGTGGGTATCGAGGTACATATTATCAGGACGGTCCTTGAACATGTTGTCCCACTTGTCGAGGTTGAGGAAGCCATCATGCAGAACAATAGTGGCATTGATACCATTGTTGCGGATAAGTGTTGCAGCCTCCTGAGACCAGTTGAGGACCTTTTCAACGGGCAAGGTCAGCATCAAAGGCTCGTTCACGAGACCGTATATAGTCACCACGTTCTTGTACCGATCCTGGGCGAAGAATTTGGACACCTGGTCATGGATTTCGAGAGATCGCTTGCGGTTCAAGGCGCCGTTTGTGCCGTCAATCCAGTCAATATTGCCCTGGCGACCACTATGGTTCCAACCGTTCTGGCTACCAGGAAGACCATGAATATCGAGCTTCACGCGAAGTCCATATTTGCGGCAATATTCGATAGCGCGCAGAAGGTAGCGCCAGGAAATTTTGGCGACATATGGATCGTCGTCGTAGGTCTTGACGGCCCAGTAGGAGTACTGAATACGAACATGGTCCAGTCCGGCCTCCTGGATCTCTTGAAAGTCAGACTCAGATAGGAATTCGGCGTAGTGCTTTTCAATCGTGCTTGCCGCGGAGCTGCCCAACTTCTTGCTCAATGTGTATTCATCAATGATCCCATCGCTAGACGACCACTCTTTGAACAAAGATGGCACAATGAAGGGTTCAATTGAAAGCCATCCACCAAGATTGACTCCACGAATAGGCTGGGAACCATAAGGGAATGCTTCATTGAGAGGAGGCACATTGTCATTTGCTCGGGCAGAGTCATCCCATGTTGAGTTGATGCCCATGAGAGAAAGATCACCCACTGTGGCGTTTGTGAAGGTGACATTGAAGCCGTTTGTGTCGTACCAGGTAAACGGATCTAGGACAGTACCTTTTGCATAGCTCTGAAGTAGCATTAGCAACTATCGTAAAAAGAGTCCCATGCAAACTTACCGGGATGCTGTCACGGCTGATACTATCCAAATTGGAATTGGAGGGACCGCCAGAACCAGAAGAACTAGAGCCAGAGCCCGAGTCGGAGTCCGAGTTGTTCTTTTTCGAAACAACAAGAGCAACGGGAATGATAATAGCAAGCAGCACGACAAAAGCCACCAAACACCCAATCACAATGCGCTTCTTCTTAGACCAATTCGACCAGAACTTCCAAGCCGGCGGCCCTCCACTAGAAAGGCTGCCCTCCCAGCTCTCCTCTTCTTTCCAATGGTCGTCCGGGGAGGTCCACCGCCGCGATGACGGACCCTCATATCAGGACTGCGCCCTTCCTCCAAGTAAGCACCAGAAACAACTCGAGCACCAGATCTATGACGAGACCGGCCCTCTGCAACTTTAGCACCAAGCGCCACACCCGCCCCGTCAGCAAGTGCAGCGCGTTTCCGCTGTCGCCGTCTCTCATCGCGTGGATCGTCTCGACGGCGAGACTGCTGTCGTCGAGACTCGTCATCATGCTCAGCAGCCAGCCGCGCCATAGCATCCACACTCAGTAGATGCGAGGCACTGCTAGTAGACTCGGTACTGCGATGCTTGCGCGCAGGCACCGCAGCAGCCTCAATCTCCATCTCACGATCCAGTTCCCTCTCCCTCTCGCGTTCACGCTCTCTCTCCCTCTCCCTCCTCCTTCGTCGCCTAGCCTCAGCCTCAACATCAACATCAACATCGCGGTTCCTCCTCTCCCTCACATCCTTCGCAGGGCTCCCACTCTCATCTCTCCGATGTCGACGATGCCCATCACGATCCCTCTCTCGATCCCGCCGTTTGATAGGCGACGTAGCAGGCGATTCCTTGGCCTTAGATCGATCCCTTTCCCTCTCCCTATTCCCATCCCTCCTCCTCCTCCCATCAGCAAACTCCTCTTCCTCCCGCTGTCTCCTCCTCTCCCTCCGTTCCCGCCGCCTAGCCTGCTCCTCTTCATACGCCGCATCATCATCAACGTCACGCGAGTCAGACTCATTCCCTGATTCCGCACGGAAACGGTACTTCGCACTGCGCGCATTGCTAGGACTAGACGTAGTAGCGCCTTCATCGGCCTCCTCGTAGCGGCCGCGGATGTATTCGCGCTCGCGCTCGATATCACGGTCTCGACGGCGTGAGCGCTCTTTGTCGCGTGTGCGATCCCTCTCCCGGTCTCGTCGCTCAGGACGGTCCCGGCTGCGGGATTGGCTCGGCATGCCACAGGTGCACCCTCGTTTAGGTTTGCGTGGTGGTCGATCTTTGGTTTGGTATGTTGGTAGCACGTGGAGATGGGCGATCCGTTTCTTGTTTGGGGGATTGGGGTATCAGGGGGGCGGAGTTAGATTGGATTGAATTGCAATGCTGGGGGTTGGCTTCGGGGTCTTTGGGGATACACGTAGGATTCGACGTGTGTGTGGGACGTTGTGTCGGAGTGAGGAGTTGTGTTCAGCTTGGCATTGCAGGCATTGTTGTCGCCGATGTTCTTGCGGGACCTTGGTTAGGCTGCTTTGTTTTGGTTTTTCCCCACACGGCGATACGCCACGCAACAAAAGCCACAATATGCGGGAGCTACGCTATCTGATGTTGTTCTTGGATCTGTAAGGCAATTGGAGCCTGGATCTTCTATCTTTTCCTGGGGGTAATGGAGCAGTTGAGGAACTGGTGGAGTGACCCTTACGGGCCAGGTGGACTATATGTGCCACAACCGTAAAAAGTACAATATGTAATTGGCAAGGATATTGGTATATGGATGTAATAGAAGACCAAAAGACATTAAATACAACTGATCATTTTGCACATATGCGAACTCCAAACCCTTCTAACAAGATAGAATTAAACAAGCATCATGTCCAACGAGTGAGGGTATGCGAACTCCGAGGGAATAAAAATAAAAGGTTCAAGAAACACATCATTGCGAAGAGAAAAAGATATAAATCGACAAAGCCTACCGAAAGAGGGGTGGTACTAAAACAATAAAAGCAAAGACGACGTTTCTGGGTTTGCGTCTGCCGTGAACATCTGTACAACTCTGCGCGGGAGTAGGCGAAGAGGGATAAGAAAGAAAGTAAAGTAAAAATATGAAACGAAATGAATTCTCGCTGTGCCCGGGGAATCTAATAGAAAGAAAAGAAGATGGTGCCTCGAGCACTCCATCTGCTGCAATAATCGGAGCTGGGAGATGTGATGTCAATGTGCAAGATGCAATCGGACACAGGGTCAGTAAAGGCATTCCCCTCAAGGACTTCACAGTGAAGTGAGAGCGGGAAGTGATCGAAGTGGTGGCGTCCTGGCCAAAGTGTATGAGACGAAGGTCCGGTGTTTGACCAGTCGCCTTCGGGTGCTAAACATAGCAACTGTCTCTGAATGGCAATTTCCATTTCGAGTAGAGACCACAAGTGGGTAGGTATTCGTGGACCCAAGGGTACAATGAGGCTGTCATGGATGACAATATCGCATTACAGATGATAGAATCAAAGGGGAAGCTTTCAGCTGATGATCTGTCTCGCTCCCTCTTTACCCAGAACACCAGGCTCAGTGGGCTTGGGACTGCGGTCACGACCCTTCTTCCGACTGAAGAATGACATCATTCCATTGGCTTGCTTGCCCTTGTCATCAGCACCCTCTAGTCCTTCGGCGGGGAGTGTTGAACTGTGGGCCAGCTCGCTCCAGCTACCAGCCTCGTTCAGAACCATTTGTACGCCTCCGCTCTTGCTCATTTGGCGTGTAGCCCCGCGCGGGCGAGGGGTGTGAGGTAGAGGCCGGTGGAAGGATGGGGCAGGTGGTGGTGAGGGAGATACGCCGGTGGAAGGGGAAGGTGGGTGCGGAACAGGCGTGGAATCGTTGGCGGTGAGGGCCTCGCCCACTGGATGCATATTTTCGTAGGGCGGAACGCGGATGCTAGAGGCGTCGTGTTGGATGGGAGAAGTGATTTGACCAGATTGATCAGGCTGGGACAATTGACGTGCGTGTGTGGTTGAGGTTGTTGTGCCCGGAAGGCAGTCCTCTGGGTTTCTAATGAATGGTGTCAGCGAAGGATGTAAAGCATAGTGGAAAAAGTACTCACACTACACCGGCAATAGCATCTGCGGCATTGCCTTGGTAGTCGGTCAAGGTGTAATCGAATGGCTCGAACATCGTCTCAATCAAGCGATGGAGCTCATCCTCCCGGATTTCCTTTGCCGTGGCATCCTCTCTTAGCTCCGCACGCGGCTTTTGTCTGCGCGCTCTAGCTTCGAGGGGCGCTTCTTCAAGGAGAAGTTCTTCCAGATCGTATGTCGCGTCGAAGTTGGTTTTCTCGCTTGATGGTCGGAACACTGGTGGGATCTGTTTGCGCTCAAGGGCTTCGAAGTCGATCTCGGCAAAAAACATGTGCTGGGTAAAAGTTTCAAAGCCAATGGCACCGATTCGGCGACTCCGATCTTTTTCCATCAACGAGCCCAGCGCGCGCAAGCAGGGAACTGAGACTGCAGGGTTGGTGACGTAGTATTTCGGTTGTGCCTTTTTGATGTTTTCACTCAGGGTATCCTGGCTCCGGCCTTCAAACGGTCGCTTGTTGTAGATGCACTCGTAAAAAGTGACACCTAATGACCACCAGTCGACCTCAAAGTAGTACCCAGTTCCCTCGTAGACCTCTGGTGCCAAGTAGGCTAATGTTCCTGACTTGCTTGTAAGAGGCTTGCCCGGTCGGAAATCCGATGCCACGTTCTAGAAATCACGGTTAGCCTCGTCACCTACAATCCAGGCGCACGACACTTACGAAGTCAGCCAAATGAACATGTCCCTCGGAATCCAATAGCACATTGTCCGGTTTTAGATCACGGTGAATGATGCCCTGTGAGTGGATGTACTTCAAGGCACAACCCAATTCCGCCATCCAGAACCGCACCGCGTCCTCGGTAAAGCATTTTCGTGAGATATGAAATCGTAGGTCACCGCCGTTCATCAGATCGACCACAATATAGCTTGAACCTGGTCAGCGATAAGCAAGGGGGATCGCTGCGAACAAACTCACATGTACTCCATGTCCTGAAAGCTATAACGCAAATTGCAAAGGAATGGATGGTTCAAATGCTCGAGCATTCTCCGTTCGCGAATGATATTCCGTACGCTTTCCGAACGAACCACTGGCACCAGTGTTAGCTATAGCTTCCCCGACAATGCTAGTCTCGAGCAACTCACCTTCTTCTTTGCGAATATATTTCAGGGCAAATGTGAGTCCAGTATCTTTCCTCTCTACAATTCGAACTTTTCCGAATGCACCCTTTCCGACGACTCGCAAGAGGCGGAAATGGTTGAGGTTGACTAGAAAAGGCAGAGCGATCAGCATGCGGTTCAGAACCTGCGAGTCATGAAGACAACCCCAAGTACGTCCTTCCATCTAAATTCAACTTGAGCTGACATACCCGCATCATTGCAATTCACCGGTTTCCCCTGAGTATTTCCCATATTGTCGGTATGAGGTATGGGTGAAGTATTGGGGGTTTCACTACTATCTTCCTTGCAACATCACACTCGTCCCAGAAACTCCGGTCGAGAGACGTAAGGATCGAAAGGAGAGTGGGAAGAACTGTTAGGATCGGCGAATATCGAGCTCAAATCGCAATGTCCATCAGAGGATGTAATTCCGAAGGTAGAATCGCCGAGCGGGGGTCAGGTGTTTCAGAGTCGGAATAGGATGCAGGTCCAGATGCTAATGCACGGAAAAAGTGACAGGTCGAAAGAAGCAAGGCACACAGGTATCCAGAACTCTCCAGAGAGAAATCAAGGGCAAATGTATGCAAGATATGTATATCGAGAAAACGTGAGGTCCGGGAGCTAAGGCCGTCCTAAGCGCAGCCTAGACACGATAAGGTAGCACCCACACAAAGAAAGGGGTGGCTCGGAGTAGAAGAGAGACAATCTGAATCAAGAGCCAGCAAATACTGAACTCGCGACTTCAATGACTTCAAGTTTGAAAGAAAGGGGAGAGAGCGGGCGAGCGGTCTGACTGAAGCGGCAGTACCCTGGGGCCAATCACGCGTGACGCGCAAGAAAATGGGGAAAGGGGATGAAAGAAACACTTCACTTTTCTCACTTTTCTCTCTTTTCCACCTATTCTCTTTCTGGTTCTGACGCCGTGCGATCTACACTGGTTTATTACCCTTCCAGCCTAGCTGAACGGAACAGATTACCGGCCTTTTTTGAGTTGGGTCTAGGTCGTACACCATCGCGAGCATTGCAGAGAGACGGGGACCCACGATATTCTCCATAGGTCAACATGGAGTGGAGAGTAAACCAGCCAAGTCAACTTGGGCTTAGGCTGATAGGCGGAGGCTATGACATCCACTAAGAAAATGCACAGACTTTACTATTCGCCAGTGACTTGTGCATTATCATTCTGGACGAACATCCTGGCGATCAAAATTCTATATGAAACGGTGGGTGGGTTTAGGGGGCGGGTGCAGAGCGCTTCAGCCATAAAATGGACCATCCTGCTCTTTGCTTTTGCGACACCTTGTCCTATTTGCGATACGTCTTTCGTATCCCATTTTCCTTGCCTGGTGGATATCACGTCAAGTCAGAATCTATCACATATAGTTCGATCGATCGATCCAACCAGGAGCCAGTTTAGGTACATCCATCTGCATCTGACTGGTCACTGTTTGCCACAGTGACAGACCCTGTTCTCCCCGAATTCTCGTGGCAGCCACGTTACCGTCTCGGCCTGAATCGCAATGTTTGTTTCGCCAGCGCGGTCTGGGTCACACTAACGGTCCTGGAACACTTGTAGAACATTCGATTGGGTATTCGATGTGATCTCTCATATGCGTGGCGCTGCTCAGCCGCAGTAGAATCAAACCCACATTCTAGGTCGGCCCTTTCCACTCCCCTGGAACTATGCTAAACATGCATATCCGCCAAGGCAAGCCAATTTCCCTTTCTTTGTAAATTCCAGCGTGCCAGATTGATACGAGGTCCGAAATACAGTCAGCTTGCTAGCGTGGTCGCCACAACTTTGCAAGATTTTATAAGCTTAGCGGGCCCTCTAACTCTTGGGCCCTTAACTTGGCACGAACCCTCAAGTGGGTGTCTTATACGACAAAGGGAGGCGCTCGGCTTGGGAGTGGCTGTTTCAGATCCACCTTTTAACTTTTGCGGAACCTAATCCATCCTTAACTGGAAATGAGGCTGTAAATAGGATATATAATTTGGACAATAACTCACTACCTCGATCTGGTTCTGACGTATGTCGAAAGCACTACTATCTACTATCTATAGCCGTGGGTATATCATTTGAGCGGGCAATTGAAATAGTTAAGCAGGTTTCCAAATGGTATGTGATTGCTGACCTTTTCGGCTATATGTCTGTCACTACTTGGAATAGATGCGTACTTTCCATTGAGTGGCTGCTACCTACATGCAGACAGGCCACGCTGACCTCCTTTATAGAAGATTGGGTCTAGCAGCTATCAATAACTGCAGAATTGTGGTTAATCATGTACCTACTAACTTATTTACAACCGGAACATGGATTGGCCATTGATTTGAACGAGTCGCCATGTCGATTGTTTACCGAGTATTCAACAAAGCTTGTCAGATACCATGAAGGATCATGGGGTGTAGTGGTATAGAAGACGGTCACGGGATAGCACCTTCCTCGACCTGACACCCTCAACACCAAGTCTAGTTACATCGTCGACCATCTCATTCCGCTTTTCCTTTCATCTCCTGCAATACTTTTCAGGACAGACATCATCATGGAGATTTCCGACAAGATCCATCCGCTCCTAATGGAACGACCACGGAGCTCGGGTGTTGATGTTGAGGCATTCTCATTCGCAAAACCTGCTTCCCACCGGAATCCCTTTACTCTGAAGAAATTTCCCAAGAATCCCCTTCTCTCGCAAGCCGCAATCGGTAATGCCCAACCTTCAAGCGAGCAGACACAAGGCGAGGGGAGCTTCAATGGTCAATTAGCCCAACTGGAGACGTACGTATTCTGCCAGGAATCAATTTTGAGTAAAACGTCTGAGGACATGTTGACATGTTTTGAGAATCACAGTACGCCCGCAGCTCGCGATGTTGGGGACGAAATTACCTTCAATTTTCAGACTCCCGGGAGGACATCGTTGCTTTTCCAGCCACCGCAGCGGCTATCGATGTCCATGGAGCAACCAAAGGAAAGCGGAAGTCGACCTGGAACTGGAAGTTCAGTACATGCGCACAGATCGAGTCTCCAGCTTGAACAAGCCCCCACGCTTCCCCAGCCGAATGAGACCATTCGAACAGATGATTGGGAGAACCCTTGCACTGCTGAGGCGAATGTTACGATCCTGGACTCAAGCCCCAACTCAGTTGTTGAAAATGCCAATGAAGCTATCCCCATGCTGCCTGGGACCGCTCGGCCACGTCAGAAAAGTAAGAACATTTCAATCAATGCGCCTTCCTGCATGTCGCTCAACCCCGTGGACAGTCAACCCCGTGGTCCAGAGCAACGTCGTACTAAACAAAAGAGACCACCCACCAAGCGCTTGACACCTCCTGTGGTCAAGAAAAACAGTATCCAATTGGGTGAAGATGATCTCTTTGAGCTCCTCATTATGAAAATGAGGGAGCGCGAAGAGAACGAGCAAAAGTCGGCAAGTATTCAACAACAAATCGAGACCGAGAATTCGGACCTAAAAGGAGAGATTCATTCTCTGCATAATCGACTCGAATCATGCCAAACCCAACTTGTCAAAAGCTCATCTGATGCAAAGCTCCAGCGAGGACAGATAGACAAATGGAAGGCAAGGCTTGCCAAATTCAAAGATGTTATCAATGAACTCGGGCTTGAATATGATACGCTTAGGGAGCAAACGAGCGATTTGAAGTTGACCACGTCGTCTCTTCACAAAGAAAAAGAGGAGATCCAACAGAATTTGGAAGAGATCAAGTTGCAAGTCGCAGAAAACACAAACACCATTGAGGGTCAACGCAGCAAGATTTCCATCTCCGAGGGGATGATTGCGATGCTGAGAGAAGCGTTGGACAATTCAGGGAGACGAGACGAAAGCATGAAGTCGCAGCTATCTCATGAAAAGAAGCGAGTGGTGACACTTGAGTCCTATATTCAAAATGAATCTCAGAGCCAAGCGCGCTATTTGACTATTGTCAGAAAAGGCCAGAATGAAATGATTGGGAAGCTTGAATCCGCCTGCAAACTGTTTACCACAACTTGTTCTGATTCTCGAGATGCCATGACTTCAACAATGAGTCCAGTTCTTGAACGGTGTATCTCTTCGATCCAGGAGTTGAAAGAACAATGCTGCGTTCAGACGATGGATGTCGAAAAGTTCACAGGTGGCGTTCAAGAAGCTGTCACCCGGTATGTGATGCAACAACCCAGTGATGATATATATGGTATTGACAAGTATTTCAGGATCGACGCGCTGGCAGGCCGACTTGCAAAGGGTGTTGAAACAAACATGGATGTAAGCAACGGTTTGTCTCGAACGTTTCAGGAAGGCTTGCGATTTATCGAGGGGAAGCTCGGTCCGGGTTCATCACTTTGCAAGCAGCTCGCCAGCAGCGAAACCCGTTATGGACATCTCCAAGAAAACCTTGAAGGGATTGAGCCGATGATAAGTAGTCTCAATGCTTCTGTCAAGGCCACCATGACCACAGAAACAGACCTTGTGCACTGCTTGGAGATCTTCGGTCAAAGACTTGCCGAAGCCCAGATTCCAGCAGGAAACCCCGTCCTTGAGATGGAGGTTTCGACCAAGTTTGCTGAAAATACCCAATTGCAACTTGAACTTCAAAAAGTCTCGATTGAACTCGGATCTCTCCGGAAGCAACTCAGCAACAGGGCTTCTGAAAATGAGCATCTCCAGCACGCGCTGGCCGAGGCTGTTACCAATGAGCAAGCATCCAAGAGTCAGAACTCCCGGCTAGAGATTGAAAAGACTGCCCTGCGGGGTGAGCTTCAATTGGTCGAGCAGAAGGTCCGCGAGGATTTGAATATTGCGAGCACCAAGTCGCAGGATCGACTGAAAGCCAATTTCGAAAGACAGATACAAGGACTTGAAGCAGCGAATGCGAAACTGGAAACTCATTCCGACCAGCTGACAAGCCAGCTAGTCAATTTCCAGAGATCATTGGTAAGTCCACGAACAAGCGTATCAAGTGATCTACTAATGATTCCAAGGCCGAATCAGAGAAGACAGCGGAGACTGAGCGACTGGAAAAAGTGACCATAGTAAGGCATTCTGATCATACTATAACGAAATTTTGCTGAAGTTTCTAGCTCGAGCAATCAGAACGACAGGTTGAGGAGCTGAACGCCACTTGCTCGAAATATATGACTGAAGCCAAGGCCAAAGACATTGAATTACAACGTTGGAAGAGTTCCGAGGCTGAACTCAGAGTTGAAAAGGAAAGACTCCTTGGCGAACTCGAGCTAGCAGCAGAGAAGACTCACGGAGTTGAAGCAAGCTTGGCGCTGAAGGCCACAATCGAAACGGAAAGATTGAAAACATCTCAGGACGTGCAAAAGCAATTGAAAACCCTTGAGTTGGAGCTGGCGGAGAAGGCCAAAGAGCTCCAGGCAAGCCTGGCGCTGAACAAGAAATCCGAATTTCAGACTCTCAAGTCCACCCAAGAAGCGGAGAAAAGGAACAAAGCACTCGAGTTAGAGACGAACCAGAAGACAGAGGAGCTTGCAAAGATGAATGACAGCCTTGAGGTGATGAAGTCCCGTTCCTTGGCCTTGGAGGAGGTCGGAGAAGAGGCTGATTCTGAGATTATTGCACTCCTCCGTCGGGCTCAAGAGGCTGAAAGTTGGCAAGCGACTATAAGAGAGGGTTTTGCCAGAATCATTGAGATGCGTTCTGACGAGCCATTCAAGCAGACATGGCAGAAAGTGGAAAACATCCTTCAGTCTTCGCCCAATCAACGGCCCATTACCATGGTTTCATCAGATGAAAACCTTCCAGGTAGCACCAGACTGGGTCTCGCGGACAATAAACAACTTGTCTTCGGGCTACGAGAGGGCGGAGCAAATGAGGCTCTGGAAGTTGATCAGCGAACAGAGCGTGTTTGTGAGACGATCGCGAGCTGCCACACTGACCTGCCTTTGTCTCAACGGACATATAATGCCTCGAAACCTTTGACCAGAGAAAGCGTCGACTGGTTACCAAAAATGCCCATTGATGTAGGTCATATCGTACCATTCGCGAGTCTTCAAGACAAGCTTTCACGGGAGGATAGTCTCTCGCTTTTCAACGATCAAGCTGAGCTGGAGATGCTGTTCATGTCAACACCTGATCTCCAGGGACCTGCAGATGCAAAAAAGCCTCCAAAGGCCTCTCAAGGAAGGAAAGAGATGCCAGCGAAGCCTGATACGGTTGGTCAAAACGTCTGTGGAGTCAACTCTGCTGTGGGTAAACATGTGCGCAAGGCAGATGACAGCAAGAGTGAAAGATCCAACTCGGCTCTCGCGAAGCTTGATGACCCATTTGTCGATACAGCCATGAAATCGGAACAGTCTAACACAAAAAGAAAGGTTGTCAGCTTTGAGGGACCTGATGTTGTTGACCAACCAGAGACTGGTAGGCCGCGACGAATATCAGATGCGATTGATAACAGTTCAGGAAAGGACTCCGAGGACAAAGCGCTAAAGCGAACACAGAAGCGGACTTACAGCCGCCTTCGCCAATCTGTGGCACAGGAAGAGACTTCGGTTGACACAAGCGTGCAGTCCCCTGATAACATTTTGGGAGCAAAACCACAGGTTCCCACCAAAACCCAAGATTCTGATGCTGGGCCGGCAAAACCGACAAAGATGGCACGCAACGCAACTTCTGGTCCTGAGCGACGGCTGAGTCCGAAGGGACTGGCTTCAGGCAGTAGGAAAATAACCGCAACTGCCACGCGAGCCCGCACCAAGCGCACCACTCGAGGTATGATATCTGGATCTCAGTAATGATATATCTGGCTAACAGTGGATAGGTGATCGCTATAGCCAGCGCTTTAGCCAAAATGCCTGAGCCAATAACCCAATATACCATCTGGCCGAGGCAGGTCTGACATTCTTATTCGATGATGTTCATGGAACCCCCGGTGCGAGTTTCGTCAGGTCAAGGTGCTCGTTCAGTTCAGCTATATTCAATATTGATTTATCGCAATCTGGCATTGCTGTCGATGGATGGAAGCCCAAACAGATTTAATGAACCAGGAGGCGATGGAGTGGAATATGTATTTTATCTTCATTGAGGTACCCAGATCTGTATTTCTCTTTAACGCCAAACACAATGCTCCGCCAAAAGGGCGTATACCATGGAATATCCGAGAAACCGTAGGAATCACAATTCCTCGGAAGTTGCATCCTCCAGTAAATAATGTACACACAGGGACTGTTCCCCTGAGACCCGTATCGCAATCCACAGACGTTCACGTAAATCCTCAAGCATCGTCGGACATATTTCGGGATGGCGGCTCCAACAAAATAAAAAGTCAGGTTCGCTTCAAGGCAGGAGATCGGAATCAATCCATGGGTAATCGCGGACGGAACTCCAATCACTCGAGGCGCAAAACAAATCGACCGATGATTGAAGATTCGAAGGACCGAGAGAACCACGATTCAAGCGCAAAGCAAAATAGCTTATTTGTTCTTTCCGCCCTTGGTCGCTTCAAGGAAAAGCACCTGCTTCTTGATGACGGGGTCGTACTTCATCATGCTGAGAGGGCGGTGCACACGCGGCCGGATCATCGTGCGGTAGTAGCCCGTCATGGCCATGGAGATTAGCCGGACGGCAATGGTACGGGACTTCGCTGTGGCGGGGAGAAAAGAGAATGTTAGTTTTGGCTGCGTGAAATCCGGGGGTTCCCTCGTTCGCCGCCATCGTCGTTTGCATCCCAGGTCAGGGAAAGGGGCGGTTGGTGGACGTATGGTGCGATTGAGGAATTGGATGATGAGGTCATGTACCTTTCTTGGCCATCTTGGGCGGCTCGGAGTGGATTGTTCGAGTGTTCGCTCTGTCAACAATTTCGAGGCTCGGAGATGATCAGATCAGATCCCGCTGGTCACGTGTGTGGTTATGCTTAGTCATCTTTTCTCTTTGGGACCTTGGGATACGGACGACGAACTGGCGGCAGGCTGCGAACTTTCGTTCAACTATGATACTTTGTAAAGAGACTTGCTGAGAAATTTTGTCATTCTCAGAGTCTACCTGGCACCACTCACGGGCGCATTCGGCTTGGGGAAGATCAGGTGCCATACAATTCACATCTTACCTTGTTAGGCTTAATTTCTCACCAGAGGGTGTTTGAGAGGAAAAATGAGAGCCGGGAGGACGGTTGGAATAGGATCTTCTACTTGGGGTCGGTGTTCGTGCGTATCTTGTGTTATGATCGGATCAAATCATGACACAACCCTTGATATCTCTTGAAACAGTCCCGCTACGCATTTAAACGCAGAACCATGTGTTCTGGAACTCGACATAGAGGAATATACAAACCTAAACTACCAAGTTACACTATACTCTGAGGTATTATTTACGCCCTGCTCCTACTGTGGGTATGTACGTCCGACACTTAGGGTGGAACACAATCTATACTAGACCACAACGGCGAAATATGCTTAGGGCGGGTATATCCGGCTCTAAGTGCTTGTCTTGAATTTCACGCACAGAATCCACTCCTTTTTCGCAGTTTCAAACGTACTTTCTGACCCGATACCTCGGTCAAAACTCAACCACCTTGCAGGCGTTTGTGCTGACTCCTGCAGGCACGATGTGACCCTATACGGGGCCCCTAGACCTGCGCCCCACAGTCATGCAGCCACGACGTTCTTCATTCGATTCCTATTTGAGGTCAATTGTTGCCCTGTGTGGTTGTTGTGGTTATTGTGGCTAATCAGCGTAGTATTTGCGCTCTCTTCGGTTAGTACGTTTCAGCCAGGCTACAGGAATCAGGGACCGATTTGCATAACCGAAACTAGCCTGTGGGGGAATCAGCGTGCATCGTGTGATGGAGACCAAATACCTTTTTCAGATAGCAACTTGTGTCCGAAGCTTATGTTTAGTATGGTTATGGATAAATTAGTTTTTGAGGGAGCATCCATATAAAGCTCAGTATCCCCAGCGTCAAAATAGAGAAATATCGCTGTTTTACCCGGCTTCGATCAATCTGGCGATCACAATTATGTCATTCAAATCTTCTGTTCAGATTGCTCTCCTTGCCTTGTTTGGCACAGGGTTTGCCCAAACCGTGGATGGGTCCAAGTATAACAACCCAACCGCCGGACCGCCAGCCAGCTATTTCGCGGCTGCCACTACAGTTCCTGTTGCCGCTTTGCAAAGTGCAGCTGCAAAGGCTAGCACTGCTGCACAGGATGCAACTTATCCAATTAATGGAGATAGTGGAGCTAAGAAAGTCACTATCCATGGTGACTGGTCGAACTTCAGCGAGGTGTGTGAGCCAATTAAGCCGATACGGAACTGAGCAATTTGGTGACTTTCTATAGGGCGCAGCGTTTGTCTGGGTGGCAGACATGGATGTGGACTGTGATGGGCTTGACTATAAGTGCAAGGTAGGACTCAATCTTCACCTTACACCTTTCAAGTGTTGACTCGATGACAGGGAAACCCAGATGGACAGGCACAGACCAACTTCGGTGCTCTAGCTGCCTATGAAGTTCCATTCATTGTGATTCCTGACAAGTTTGGAACAAAGTATGCTAATGTGCTTCCCGGAAACAATATCGGAGCGGTTATTTGGTATGCCCTTTTCATATTTTGGCTACATTGAAGTGTCAATCTAAAACAAAAGCAGCAATGGAAAGATGTTCTATGGCATCTACGGTGACACAGATGGTGATACACCGCAAGTTATTGGAGAGGCCTCGTGGTTGATGGCCCGCACTTGCTTCCCAAATGACGACTTGAATGGAAACAGCGGCCACGGCTCCGCAGATGTGACCTGTAAGTCAAGGAATTACGTATTCTGTTACTGTGCTAATGGTACCAGACATCCTCTTCACTGGCAAAGATGCCGTGCTCCCTAGCAGCGCTCTCAACAAGAACTATATCACCAACTTTACCACACTCCGGTCTATGGGTGACAAGCTAATGAGCGCCCTGGCGAAGAGCCTCAATTTGAGCGGAGGAACGACGCCGCCTACTACTACTCCTCCTAGTGGCTCCTGCTCTTGGGCTGGACATTGTGCCGGTATGAAATATCATGATCAAATTTAGCTTTTCGTATACTTACCTTTGCTTAGGTGCTTCCTGCTCTAGCGAAAATGACTGTTCTGACGATCTAGTCTGCACGAGTGGAAAATGCGCTTAACTCTTAGAGGTATTTTACCTTTGCTTTATGCTGTTGGCTGAACATTTTTTGCCGGGGTTTATGTTTTGAGTTGTTGTTTTTTGAGCTATTTCTGAATACATCTAAACTCCCGAGTAGTGATATCTGTAACTCTGCTAGAACGGGTCTTATCAAGAGGATATATTTTGCCATTTCTGCTAACCAATTATACTTTCAGAGCAAATGGTGCCATACTTGCAACTCCATTTACTCCTTATCAGAATTTCTACCAATAAACCAAGTCGAGAGCCCCCATTAATAATTCTCGCCCAACATTATTGACTTATATTCAAAGGAAGCTTTTCTCTCACTAGGTATGAAAGGCTATCTGAGACCGGACACATCTGCTCCAATTGATCAGGAATAGGCTTTAGGTTCTTGAGGAGCGTCCAGTGAACTTGGCTGCACAGGTGATTAGACCAATTGACAGAAGCAGGTATTGGGTTTGTCCCATCATCATTTCAATCCAGTACAATCTCGTTCATCTTTCCAATCAAAAAAAAAAAAAGTATCGCAGGACTTGTATTAGATTCCGACTGGCGAGGCCATTGGTTTGGGACATAAAGACAAGCTTCGGTCAGTGATTATAGTGTAAGATTCATCTCTGGTTAACAAATGGTCCGTCTACATAGAAGAAACAGTCTCATCGAAGCCGAAGTACTACGTGTCATGAAATTTATCAACTTGCATCGTTGTTGCGACCTCGCCGCCGAAACATATGTTTCGGTATTAGCACTACAGAGAGCTTGCATAGTGGTTGGGTCATTCAACATATAGGCCTCCCTGGGGTTTCCGATAATCACAGATATCTTCTCGCAGAACAATTTGCCTGTCTCCCTTACCGACTTTCAGAATGTTCCTCCAGCTTCCCATACTCGTCTAAATGCCATTTATCTTTGTGTTGTTTTCTCCGTCGGGTATATGATTGCGCCATACTAAGCAGAAGTAACACAAGAAGTATTTCTAAGCTCAGTCCAGACCTTTTACTGGTCTTCGAAGCTGGGAAGTGCTGCGATTCCACTATGAGCAACCCTACTCGGCTTTCTTCCGTTCTAGATGGGTGGCTCTATCTTCCCGATGATTGAACACTCACATTCATTTACTGGGGATTCGTGCTTTTGTGTTAAAATGACAGCAGTCAAGCACGAGCGGGGTTATTATGAGATAGAGGAGAACGAGGAGATATATAACGACCAATGTGATCCAATGTCCAAGGAAAACATCAAGTCATTTGACAATTTCTCATTCTCTTCCAACCGAACGACTCAATAAACTAGAAAAAAATTCCATCATGGCAGCCGACAGCTCAGCCAAGAGACGTATATATCTCAATGGCTTCGACATGTTTACAGTGGGCCATCTCTCATTCGGCCAGTGGAAGAATCCCGCCGATCGATCAGCCACAAAACGACGCGATCTCTCATACTGGACCAACTTGGCCAAGATACTCGAAAAAGGCGACTTCAACGCCCTGTTCCTTGCCGACACTTATGGTCTATATGACACATACAAGGGTACTGCAGAGCCCGCTATCCGGAATGGAGCTCAATACCCCATGGGTGATCCGGCGATAGTATGTCAGAACCTTAGTTCAGATCCCTTGTATCGAGGAATAGCAAATCGCTAACCACAACGCCCAGCCCATCTCGGCGATGGCATCGGTTACGAAAAATCTCGGATTCGCGATCACTACTTCCACGTCGTATGAAGCCCCGTATGTTGTTGCAAAGCGGTTTTCCACTTTGGATCACTTGACCGGTGGTCGGTTCGGGTGGAACATTGTAACATCGTGGAAGGAATCTGCTGCTAAAGCTGTGAGTTAGTATCTTCGGAGTCTCATACATCAAGCTAACATGCATAGGTGGGATTGCCTCTGGTAGATCATGACAAACGGTACGAAATTGCCGACGAGTACCTGACAGCGCTATACAAGTAAGAAACGAGCATAATTCCGACTTGCAGAAAGCTTACACATCACAGACTGTGGGAAGGGAGCTGGGCCGACGATGCCCTGCAAGAGAACGCAGAAACGGGTGTATATGCCGACCCAAGTCGGATTAAATACATTCACCATCACGGCGAGCATTTTAAATTCGACGGGCCTCACATTTTGGATCCATCGCCACAGCGCACACCCTTCCTCTTCCAGGCCGGTACATCACCAGCCGGTGTGGCATTTGGCGCCAAACACGCCGAGGGAATCTTTGTGTCAGCGCCATCGCCCCACATCCTCGCACCACGCATCAAAGCCATCCGCGAGGAAGCGGCCAGGGTCGGCCGTGATCCTCGATCGGTGAAGGTATTCGCAATCCTAACACCGATCGTTGGCCGAACAGATGAAGAAGCACAAGAGAAATACCGTGAGGCGCTAGCAAATGCAAGCGAAGAAGCAGGCCTTGCCTTTTTCTCCGGAGGGAGCGGCATCGACCTCAGCAAGTTTGATCTGGATACACCCATCACGCCATCAGATGTACATGTCGACGCGCGGGTGCATTCAACAATTAACACACTCTCCTACCAGAGTTCCGACGTGCCGCAGTGGACGCCAAGGAATATCGGCAAGCGCATCTCCATCGGCGGGGCTGGGCCTGTTCCAGTTGGATCCGCAAGCACCGTCGCGGACTTCCTGGAAGAATGGGTCCGCGTGGCTGATCTGGACGGGTTCAATATCGGCTATGTTCAGACACCGGGCACTTTCGAGGACGTTGTTGAGCTGTTGGTGCCGGAACTTAGGAGACGAGGGGTCTACGCACCCGAGAAAGAGAGCGGGACTATGCGTGAGAGGGTGTATGGTCCTGGGCAAAAGCGGTTGCGAGATGACCATGTCGGAAGAAATTACGCATATGAGGTGTACGACGGTCAGTAATGGAATTTCGAGCCTGGGGGTCAGCGCTAGCAGGAGCTTTGAATCGGATCATGTATTATGCGAATAGAGAAATAGGAGCATTTGCCCCTGCAAGTAAGATGAGATCTAGGAGCCCGATGTGTCAAATGCCTTCCCGGTGTCCAGGTACATAACGTACCTGTATTTCCTGCACCAGAAGCGCCCCTAACCCTGCGCCAAGGCAAGCGGAGATATTAAGGGCCTTGAATTTGCTCTTTTGCAGAGGCCAGATGCCATGTGGTCAGGGGCCGTTTTCTGTCATTGGCTCAACTTTATGATGGCTTGCGACTAAATATCACCTAATGCATAGATCGGGTATTTTGTACTCAAGTTCAATTTATTTTCTTTGTGCGGTTTTGGGTCCCCAAATCCTGTCATTTAACCTGAAAGGAATTCCCCAACTAGTATCATTCCTGCTGGTCCTTGAAATTAGATATATTGGACGCACAATCTTAACTATAATATTCTTTTCTTTTTCTGAGGGTTTGATATAGCGCTGTGTAGATCTCGTTTTGTGTCTAATTAATTAAAGACAACACGAACAGAACACCGGCACCTCCGATTGGAACCTATCGGCGGTTTTTCAATCTCACTAGGGCTAGACCGTTAAATGATCAGATTTAATGACTTCATTCAATGAGGTAAAAAGGATTTTCGTGGCAAATGAACGGACTTCATCAACCGCGAGGCGTTCCTTGGCAGACGTTTCATCTTTCATATCCATACTCTCCTTGCCTGACCTGCCTCACATTTTCCTGTCGACTACGGGCTCTCGCCTTTAGTGGACCTAGATGCGGTGTGATCTGTTTGCGCCGTGCTTGGCTCGTTTAAAGTCCCCCGCTAGTGGCTAGTTCATCTTAGGCTAATTATTTCACCCCGCTCTACGGCTTTATACCCCCGATCCTGTGGAAATCTGAAACATCTCTGTGCAGAGCATACAATTTCTTCTCTTTTGAGCGAGATGGGACTATAAGTATCGAGCCTCTGCTCAGGGTGTTCATGATACTATTCTCATCAACCAGTCTCTCCTTTTACTGACGCTTGCTGGACTCAAGTCGTCTTCCATTCCTTTCTACAACTATCATTCATTTCTGACACTCCTTCAACCATTTTTATCAACATGATGTACTCTTCCCAGAATTCGGGCTGGCAGGCTTTCATGGCCAAGAGAAAGGTCCTGGTGTCCTGTGTTCTTGGCCTCTTCTTTCTCGCCATTGGGGCGGATATCCGGGCTGAGCTCGGAGCTGGACATCCGCAGAAGAAGATCCTGAAGCGTGCCACCGACACTACCATTTGGCAGCCGGCCGCTGGTGTCAAATGGCAGATTCAGCTGATTGATGCAGTCGAGGACACCACCGCCGATGCTGACATCTGGGACATCGACCTGTTCGACAACACCGCAGCCACGATCTCCACCCTCCAATCCAAGGGCCACAAGGTCATATGCTACTTCTCCGCTGGTACGTACGAAGACTGGCGGTCCGATATCAGCAAGTTCGACTCCGCAGATTTCGGCAGCAACCTCGATGACTGGCCAGGCGAGAAGTGGCTTAACATCAAGTCCACCAGCGTTCGATCGATCATGACTTCTCGCTTGGACATGGCAAAGGAGAAGGGCTGTGATGGCGTGGACCCGGACAACATCGACGCATATGGCAATGAGAACGGTCTTGGCTTGACGGAGGCGGACTCGATTGACTTCTTGACTTTCCTTGCTACTGAGGCTCATTCTCGTGGCATGGCTATCGGTCTCAAGAACGGTGGTGATATCATTGGCTCTGTTATTGACAAGATGCAATGGTCTGTCAATGAGCAGTGCGCTGAGTATAACGAGTGTGATGTCTATGCTGCCTTTACCGAGGTCAACAAGCCGGTTTTCCACATTGAGTATTCCGATGAGACTATTGAGAACGATAGCAGCGCTTCGACTGATACCACCACGGATACCACCACGGACACTAGCGAGGATGTTGCTGCCACAACCACTGCTAGTGCCACTGCTAGTGGCACTGTTTCCCCCTCGGTTTCTTCCTCCGCTTCCGCCTCCGTCTCTGCCGTCGCTACTAGCACCAGCCCTACCGGAACTTCTTCGGCCGCTGCCACAACCACTACAACTGATGCCGACTCCACCCCTGATACTACGACTGATACGACCGATGACGAGAATGACGAGACTGACGCTGAAGACGGTGATTCCGAAGACGACGACTCCGAGGATGATGAAGACACCGAAGATGACACTGAGACTGAAAGTAACGACACCTACATTCGCAAGCACAAGCAAAGACACAACAAGATCGAGAGCAGAGCCACTCTCTCTGCCTCACTGAAGTCAACTGCCTGCAACGCCAAAAGCGCCGACAAATTCTCCACTGTCATCAAGAACATGAACCTGGACGCTTGGGTTGAATATTGCTAGACAATACGCTGTAAACCTGAGGTTTATGTCAAGTACTTGCTTTTTGTATACCCGCCAGTTCGGGAATTTGTGGAGGAATGACTGTCGCTATAGAATACATTCAGAGGGCAAGTCTTAGTCAATCTATGAGAGACCATTAAAGATTTCGGAAAATCAATACAAACTCCATTTGCATTCTTCTACGCTTGTGTCCCCAAGGAAGAAAGACTGAGCCGCCCGACTTGCTAATGAAGGATATGCTAAATCCTTTAGCTACGTAAAGATAGATTCGATAAGTGAGTGAATAGTGATATATAGGACTAGGCTTAGGTCGTGGGCATTTATAGTGGGATAACGGCCGTTGCTACCTTTACCTTTAGTGATACGCCAGTAATATTGTATGTTTAGCGTTGGGCAAAGCAGGCGTCGTCTTCTAAAGTAACCTAATACGGATGAAGGTGGTTTCGGGTACGGGCCGAGAAACAAAGCGTGAGTGTCCATGGGGGAATCTGTTCTCGAAATCTACTGTAACCTGTTTTAAGTATGCAGGTTCATTCCTGGAACGGGAAGTGGCTGACACGAGCCACAGCATTCGCCTGGTTGTCCATTGGTTGGCTGACGTGAACCTAAGTGCATTCCAAGGTTCTAAAGCTGTACCTCAAATCCTACACAGCATTCTTTGCAAAACCTGCAACCAAAAAGCCAAGAAATGTGCCAAGAAAGATGCCGAAAACACGCGATATCCATTTCTCCAGCCCTATAGGGCTAGGTGCTTCACTCTGTAGATATTCTATAATTCGAAAGGACATCCCTTCCTTGCTTCTATTAACAAAATGGACTATAACCGTCGGTCTCTGAATAGCTTCTCAAGACATGTAGACGGAAACAATAAATCAACAACGCCCACAGCCTTGGCACAAAGGAACAAGAGGTAGACAAGCAGAGGCTAACTAGTCTTGATTTTATCTTGCCAAGAATACAAGGACACTTTCTTCCAACAATATGTGACTTTACCCAAGCTAATTACGTACACCCTTCAAATCGCGTGGTGGTAAATTCCGGGCCCGGGTTGAGTAGCTACTATAAGTTTAGTGCCAGAGTTGGGTGCATCCACAGACCTGACAGCCTGCTCTACCTGCAGAAAGAGGTTAAACGAGAAAATAGCGCAGGCAAGGTCTACGAATCATTTCTTCTACTCGCTATATTAACGTCTATTTCAAACCCCACTTAATATACTAAATCACGCGCGATGAAACCCCAAATGGGTCTGAAGACCGTGCCATTGTGACAATGTCTCGGCTTACTCCACTCTACCGGATTCCTTGAATTCCCTTGATCTTATCTGATGCTTTTTTCATCTATTCCTAATTTTTTTGAACTGGAGTTGGGTTTATCCCCAGTTTACAGTTGCCTCCTTGCTGTATCTATACAACCTCTCAATCTCTCAATCTCTCAATCCGATCCACAGACCTCCCACCCAACCCCCATCATCAACAATCAAACATGGCCCCTGAAACCCTCCCAAAAGACCCAGAGCTCTCCGACTCCGAAAGACAACAAATCCTAGAAGGCGACGCGAAATTCCACCGCCTAGGCTGGAAACGCCTAACAGTCATTTCAATTGTCGAGGCCATTGCATTGGGAAGTCTAGGACTCCCATCAGCATTCGCCACACTAGGCATGGTTGCTGGAGTGATAATGACAATCGGCCTCGGTTTCGTGGCAATCTACGCGGGCTACAACATCGGCGAGACGAAACTGAAGTATCCCCAGATAGGACACTACGCAGACGTCGGTCGGCTGCTCTTAGGAAATATAGGATCAAAGATCTTTGTCGGTAGTTTCGTTGCACTTCTCGTTTTCGTTATTGGATCGCATTGTTTGACTGGTGCTATTGCCTTCCAGACGATTACACAGAGTAATGTATGCTCTATTGTGTTTAGTGTTGTCTCGGCTGCGATCTTGATGTTGCTTGCTATCCCGCCTTCTTTTGCTGAGATTGCGATTCTGGGGTATATTGATTTCGCGTCGATTATTGTTGCTATTGGTGTTACGATGATTGCGACTGGAATTCAGAGTTCTAGTGGGACTGGGGAGTTTGTTAAGGATATGATTCCTTGGTCTGCATGGCCGAAGGAGGGGATTACCTTTTCGGCGGCTATTGTTGCGACTAATAATATTGTTTTTGCTTATTCTTTTGCGGGTTGTCTGCCTTCTTTTATGGAGGATATGCATACCCCTGAGGATTATGTTAAGACGCTTTGGTGGATGGGTGGAATTCAGATTGTTGTCTATACCCTGACTGGGTCGATTATCTACGCTTTTGTTGGGCAGGGTGTGCAATCGCCTGCGTTATTGTCTGCTGGGCCTGTTATTTCGAGGGTTGTTTTTGGTATTGCGCTTCCGGTCATTTTTATCTCGGGGTCGATCAATACGACTGTTGTTTGCCGGTATATTCATGGGAAGGTATATCGGGACTCGGTTGTTCGCTATGTTAACACGAGCAAGGGTTGGATGACTTGGCTTGGACTTGTTGTCACTGTTACAATCCTGGCTTGGATCATTGCTGAGGCTATTCCTATTTTCTCAGAGCTGCTCTCTATCATCTCGGCTTTGTTTGTTTCTGGATTGTCGTTCTATATTCCACCTATTATGTGGTATGTGCTTTTGAGAGAGGGGGCTTGGTATGAGAAGCACAACCTGAAGAATGCCATTTTAAATGGTATTGTGTTTGTGGTTGGAATGATTATCTTTGGGTGTGGTACTTATGCCAGTATTGCCGAACTGGTAAGTTCCTTTTATATCAATATGACGATATGCTGATTCTTATCCCACAGATCGATAAGTTCCAATCAGGGTCAGTTGGTAAGCCGTTCACGTGCTCTAGCTGAATCCTTTCAACAAAGTCGCCTGCCTATTGGGCTGTGTGACCCGTGCAAAAGTTCGAGGACCTAGATCTGAAAGGTTATAAAGTGAAGATTGGATTGAACGCTACTTTTAGAGATCAGGAGGCCTAACAAACTCTAAAAATAAAAAGAGACTTATATTTGAGTATTACAAGGTCCAGGTTTGTGGTCACCTCAAAATCAGGCGACAACTGTGTGTGAGATCGACGCGCGAACATTATCCAACTGACCTAGTCATATTGCCGATCAACCAAGGTCACTCCTTGCTAGAGTAAATACTATAAAGGCTGTTGAAATATTTCGACGCCGACTAGAAATAGAAGAGAAAATGATCTATGAAGTTTTCAGGAGTGGAGATAACTATAGAGCCGCAGGGTCCACCATTGCGATCAACGGGTGGCTTTGCAGCCTTGTCGACAAAGCTGTGAACGGACAGTTTACTCTCTTCCTTGTATCATCCAACAAGCTTTATGTACAGTACTTCTCATATGTGTAGTCATGCAGTGCAATACAGGATAATTTACCTGACGTATGAAGAAACTTAGCCTTCTCGCCTGAGGCACATCCTAAGTCACCTCAGCCACAACCCCGCAGTGAGTCATGTATAAAACTGTAATCTGGAAAAGTAAATCTGTAAAGAAATGGAGTCAAATGGAATGGTGGGGAATACAGGTGGGTTTGATCAACAGTGCTTGACTCAGGCCATATGACCCGGGCACGAAGTATGAATAACCGAATGATGCCATGTACCGGATAGAACTTTACAGTACATTTTACATTTATAGTAAAGAAATAAATCCAAGTGTTGTAAATATTCATATTCATTGAAATCATCGTAAACATTCCCATGGACTGTCCAAAAGAAGGAATGGCCGACATCCTCGCGGGGCGCATATCATAATTCACATACAGTTAACAAAGGAAAATAATCAACTGAAGCTTCTGTAAGCTTCTCCACAAAACAAAAAATGAGTCACACAAACAAGCCAATAAAGCGTGCAGGACATGAAAACATGCATGAACATCAACGAATTTCCGCGTCTTTCATTGGCTAATCCATCCACACCTGCATCCCCAGATGGAGTGGTTGTGAATGTGCTCCACCAATAATGGTGCCTAGCCAAGACTGCGAAAGAGCATGCATACAGCAAAAATTCCCGAGTAACAGTCAAGTGTCGGGGTCCCAAGCTAGACCCCGACCTGTGATGTTCGAGTCAGAGATCAGTGAAAACAGAAAAGTAAATTTCCGAGGGCGCATCCAGGCAGGCCCTTTCAATCCAGATCAAAGACTGGGGTGTATAGGGTGGTACCAATATGTGACGTAGGGCACATATTGGCAGAGCACCAAACATTGGATGGGGGGTGGGATAGACAATCAATGTCTATTGAATTGAAGCTTATTCAAAGCAATTGGAGTGTAGTAGACGAAGTCGTAGTTGTAACCGTAATCATAGACCGAGAAACCAGAAGCGACATTGGTCTCGCATTCAACGGTGGTACTTGCTGCCACCCTCGACATACCGACGGGGAGCCTCATACTGGCGCTCAACTCGCTCCTGGCGGTCTGTGTTGTACAAAGAGCCACGGCTGGAAGAGGGCCGGCTGGGAGAGCCACCGGGGGAGCGGTACATGATCGAAGTTGGCGAGCGCGAGCTGCGAGGAGTGCGCTCGATGATCTGGAAGGTCTCTGGGGACATGGAGCGAGGACGGACTTGCTCACCGCTGACCCTGCGAGCGGGGATCGGATAGGTGCGGTCGTAGCTGCGGCCTGTGGAGGGTGCTTGGACTGGTGCTTGCATGACAACGGGCTTGGAACGGAGACGGAGGCCTTGCTCGAGGGCTGTGAAGAGGTTGCGCACAGCATAGGAGTCACGGGCGAGCTTGACCCGTGTGGGCTTGCCGGCCTCGGCGTCGACTACTGAATAGTACTTGCCGTTTCGACTGTAGATATACTGGGTCAGAGTGCGGGCGCGAGCGTTGCCTTGGTCGCAGAGGGAACGGCCGTCTTTGAGGGTCTCAACTGCGTTGGAGCAGTGGCGGCAGCGGTTGGCGTGTTCCTCGAACTCTGTCACGACTAGGCTCTCGTCGTCGGCGAGGTCGCGGACGACGACAAGAGGATCGGTGATTTCGATTGGGGCAGGCATAGTGTTTGTTCGGCGGAGTGCCAGCAGACGTCGGGTCAGACTGCGAGGAGGGGATCTTTCCCTTGTAGTTGAAAGAGTTGAAGGGTCGACGATGTATGAGGTTGAGCGAAAGGGCGACACCGTGACTGATTTATGGGGGTCACGAGGGGAGAATGGATGATCGACCTTGTAGTTGATTGATTGAATGTTTGAAGTGATAGTATGAAACCAGTATGGGACAGTTGATGTTAGGTGTTAATGGAGTAGTATCATATGTGGAGGGGGAAGGGGGTTATATAGTACATGACATGCATATAGATGCCTGGTTGATCTGCAGCCTTGACAATACTCTCCACCACCATCCACCATACTGTACTTACTTTACTTAGTATACACACTTGTATACTTCCGGTTAGTCTGTGGCTAGGGGCTGTGCCTTTGGCGTCAACACCGCCAGGTTGAAACCTGCCGATCTCCTTATTGGCTCCAACTGCTCAAACAAACGGTATGAAGTCCCCCTCTATCTTCATGGTGTTCTCCACTTACGCAGTATAATGACTTTCTGCCTTATTCTCATGACATCAGGGGTAATACCAATACTGTCATGGCTTGTGGCTGATGCTGTCTCGTGTACCCCCCCTGAGAACAGGCCTCAGGTTCGCGTCATTTGCACTTTTACTTTCTAAATCAGAATAGATTTTGTTTTTGATTCAGAGCCAGTACATTCAACATCTGAAACCCCTTGATCTGAGGCTCCGTTGCATTTCCCCACGCTCATAGGCCCCCGCAGCCGCCGTCATAGCGTCTATCAAGACAATCAAGACAACTCTCGAACTCTTGAAACCTCAGACTACAGCATTGTTCGCTTCCATATTTGGAGACTGTTTCACGCTATCTAAGAATAACATCAGACTCGGAAATTGGATTTGGACCCCACGACTATCACTAGCCCCAATTCCCCCTCTCAGCCTCAAGCCACCCCGTATACAGAAAACGATAAATCTCACCCAATGCTTTGAACAAAACTAATCCTATTCTAGTGCCCTGCTCAGCCTCAGCCACCAATTTCGCTATCTTTCATTCATGATTTGATGCACCAGCCACTGATGTCTACTTTCGTATCCCGCGCCCTTTGCTCGCTGCATGTCAATCTCCCACCCTCAGACCCTGATCCCTCAACGACCAGTTTCAATTCTAGGTGGTTCTATGTTTCTACCTGTGTCGCTTGACGCGCGCCAGGCCTGAGCCTGAGCCTTCTGGACTTGTCTCCTTGCTGCCTTCCCAGGCACCAGTTTACTTGCTTACATAGGGGTCTGACCTCTTTCAGGGGCCAAGTCCAGATCGCGGGCGCTATCTCCAAGGACAAACTGTCCTTTTTTTATTCTGACCTTTTTTTACCATTTCTATTCCAAGCATGCAGATCGTTTTCATCACACCAATTCTCCGATGTCACTACTAACTCTACGTCAACCCCTTGCACCCTGGCGCATACCTTAACGCATTCGCATTTAAGTGTTACAACCCTCAATCCTCAATCCGAAGAATATTCTTGTTAAGTCAACGTCCTTCAACAGCCCGGCCGGGCTAGCTCAATCGGTAGAGCGTAAGACTCTTAATCTTAAGGCTGCGGGTTCGACCCCCGCGTTCGGCTATTCCTAAACACCGTCCACGAGTGAGCGTTTCTTTTTTTGGTGGAAGAATTTTTTGAGCCGCCCACATACTGCAATCTGAGTGGTTGTTGCAGGTTCATGTTCTCCACTGAGTGCGGGCCGCAAGGAGTGCACGAACTGATCCAATGCATACATGTTTTTTACATCGTACATTTATAACTCAACAATCTGGCAAAAATACGCGAATTCACAAGCCGCAAAGGCAGCAATCTTGCGCGAATAAGCAAATACTCGCACCATGTCAAACCCTGGAGCCCATCTGAGGCTTGACTGGGTCAAAGCGCAAGGCAGAAAATGCCTTGGTGCCGTTGAGGGCTTGCTAAGGTTTCTTGTTCAGCTGGACATGGTCATTGGCGTAAAAAGTGTAGGCTTCAATTGATTTTCTGGGGTTAGTCACGGGGTCATATCTCTCTTGATTCGTCGTCAGAGGCTTTGGGCGCTGGATTCTTGGGGTTTTATTGGTTTTTATAATACTTGATTTGTGGTGGCTGCATCATCGGGCCGTTTTTTTATTACTATATTCTACCCGGGTGTGGTTTGCAAAACCGATTATTAATATGCGGATTTGTCTAGGTTCAGGGATTGTGTTATTCGATTGTTCGAGGTCTTGATACTTTGTAGACTTTGTTGTTGTGGACCCTTGTTGGCGTGTGTAGTAACGTTAACTTAACGTAATTCACATGCGAGTGAGCCACCCAAGCGAGTGGGCCACCCCAAAACACATAGTAAAAGCGATATATTCTACATTTATATCTCAACAACCATGTTTTTATTTTATCTCCTTATTTCACGATAGTCATTGATAAGACTAATTAGCGTTCTATATCAATTTTAAGGATAGCAGAAGGCTATATTATGGTCATTTCAAAAATTACCGAAAATTACGTTGCCAAAAACTAGATATATATACATTGCAACCATGATGTCTTAAACTTTCCTCAAACTCCCTATAGATGCTAGATATCACTTAAGAAGCATAAATATATAAGGAAAACTCTAGATAGACTACCGTTGTTGAGATACCAAGTTGTAATTAATCGCTTTTACTATGTGTTTTGGGGTGGCCCACTCGCTTGGGTGGCTCACTCGCATGTGAATTACGTTATTTAGTTTCCTAAAGTGTGCTACCACTATTCTATAGTATCTACTAGGCTTATTACTACCTAGAGCTATAACTATTCTGGACTCTTACGCTTTATACATTAAGTTAAAGATAGTACCTACTCCCTAGCATTACTCTAACGTCGCTAATAACTAGAGAGAAGCGCAATACAGGCCATGTTTTGGTGGTAGACTCCCTCTGCCTGAAGACGAATATGGTCATCTAGCCCACGATCCAGTAAATTTATTTGTCGGAGTGTGCCGAGTGTGCCTTGGTTGCAAACAGCAGATCAGCCCAGGCAAGGAGATCGACTGGGGAACTCTGACCCGCGACTGATGCATCGTGAACGGCCTTTGCGCGTTTTGTGAACGGAAGGTCTAAACCGCGAGAAATGCCCTCGTAGTAGGGGAGACCCCAGCATGCTGGATTAGTCTTTCCATTCTGATACCCGATATACCGATTCTCTGCAGAGATATTTGCCCACGGCCCGTTGAGCAAGACCGCTTCACATCTGTAGAACGACGGATCGTAGGGCACGGTTTCATTCAAGTTGTACTTGGCCGCATATTCGGATCCCTCGAATAGCAGGTTATCATCCAGCGAAAAGAGGTCGTATCCCTGATTCTTCACCACTTTGGAAGCCATCGACAGCCACTGGAGCCCGTCCTGGACATGTGTCTGATCCCGGGCTGCCTCGGTAAATTGACCCGTACCATCAAGGAGGTTTGCAGATAAACCGGCGCAAAGGTCGTTCTTGTACGCATAGAGAGCATAATTGTACAGAGCGACGTCGTCCAGGTAGACAGCAAAATTGAGTAGACCCATAATGCTGGCAACACCGTAGTTGGCCTGCCCGATGATGATGCTCTGTCGGGCAAATAGCCAGTACAGCTGGATGCTGAAACCAGCGCTACCTTTCCAGGATGCAGTCTGTTCGACCCATCCACCCTCCCAGCGCATAATCTCTGCAGCGTTGGCGAAGACAACACCATTGATGCCGACAAGCAGCGAGCGATCCGTACCAATGATATTGGTCAGATTAGTCCCCCAGGCTTCGAGAATTGTAGTCGACCGATTCAATGAGCTTGATCCTTTGTGATATACCTTATGGGCGGTTTTGTCAGAGCTGTTTAGCATATTTTACCGGGTAACAGGAGTTCTTACACATGATAGCATTCTGATACGCGGCGCGTGCATCATTGACGGAGCTAGTGTAGTTGCTGACAGCTCCACGACTGATAACAGGATGAGGGCCTTGGATTTGTAGGGCGCTTGGGAGTATGAATCGTTCGAGAATCTCGAATAAGCCGATGTCCAGGGCTCAACTCCGCCCAGAGCATTCTTTCGCATTGCTTCGAGATCGGCATGGCTATGTCAAAGACCTGGATGCTGGAATTCACGGGTTCGCTTTTTCGAACCTTCGGTTGCAGGCACCACCGGAACAGGGCCTTGAAGTCGCCATCAGTATTTTATCTCAAGTAGTTCTGAGAAGCAAGTGATTTACCATTCAATGATGGAACATCACTGACTAGGGCGTTTACAGCCGTTGCAGCCACAACGAGAAACTTGAAAAGCCGCATGTCACAAAAGATGATTGTATCTGCTGTACAACTTACACTGGGGAGCTGCTTATAGATATACTGCATGCATCCAGACACTGGAGCATTTAAGTCAATTCCGCATGTTTGCTCTCCACTGGCCAATAGCGATCTTCCTTTGATAGTTTGACTTTTGAAAAGTCCGCGTTGTTACCCCACGGGGAAACTGCCGGGATAATTCACGGACACGTCCCGGCCCTGAAATTCCAATTGGGAATATGTGCCGGAGAACGGCCGCCAAGTTGGAAGCTATGATTCCATGCCATTTGTCGCCGACTTAGTGGATACACTCAGATTAATGGACTATCCTCGTCCGTGGCATCGGGTCGGCTAGGTTGACGAGTTGAACTCAGGGCCCGGGGGTGAACTTCATGCAGTACAAATAAGTCTCGTGCACCTACAGCGCTAGATCTATCGGCGTCTTAATTTGGCTCATCATGAGGTGGCTCCTCGACCGTGTAATTGTCATACAACTTTGGGTGTTGGCAGCCCTTGCGATCAAAAACCCTATTATCACAGGATGGAATCCTGATCCCTCGGTCATTCGTGTCGGTGATGAATATTTCATCGCGACTTCCTCCTTCGAGTACTGGCCTAGTACTTCAATTTACAAGTCAAAGGATCTTGCCAACTGGGAGCTTTACTCGCATGCTTTCAAAAAACCCAGTCAAGCTCAACTATATGGCGTACCGACAGGTGCTGGTAGGTTCCCCCATACCCTGCGACCGAGGGAATCTTATAATCTAAACAGGCTGGCAGGTACATGGGCTCCCACATTGTCACTTGTTAATGGCAAATACTATATGGCATCCATGACAAGGTGGACCTATGATCCAGTTGCACGGGTATGGCCCCGTGTTATGTGGGTGTCTTCCCGCGATCTAAAGACATGGTCTGATCCTGTCTGGGGTGACGCATGGGGAATCGACCCTTCCTTGTTTCAGGACCAAGCTACGCAGAAGGTTTATTTGAACCTCATGGCTCCAAACAATAACGCGGATAAGATTTGGGGAATCTATCAATGCGAAGTTGACGTGGACAATGGTCGGTGTGTCGGCGAGTATCGTTCTTTATGGAATGGGACGTTGCCGCATACTTCAAGTGCCAGACCTGAGGGCCCAAAGATGTTCAAACGCGACCAATGGTATTATCTCCTTATCGCTGAAGGTAAGTTACAGTCCATAACAGGAAGGTTTCATGTTTCATTCAATCTAACTTGTATAGGGGGTACGGATGACCTTCATCGAGCTACTATCGCACGTTCCGCTTCTCCGGAAGGTCCCTGGGAAGCAGCGCCAAACAACCCGATTTTGTTCAACGGTGCATACGGATATGACAACCTCACAGTACAGTCGACTGGTCATGCCACGCTTTTTGATACTCCACATAGAGAGAGCTATGCAGTATTTTTGGCCCGGAGAAAGATCAATGGCACATCCCCGCTTGGACGAGAAAGCTTCCTTGCTCCTGTCCAATGGAAGGATGGATGGCCTATTGTCAATGGAGGGGAGCCAATTCGACTCAGCCAATCGTTCGGCAACACCATGGACCAGGTCTCACCACCAAAGCCTTTCACGGATAACTTTGATCGTGCAAATCTTGATCCTTCATGGTATCAGCTTCGAGTCCCTTACACGCAGAACTTCGAGATCAAAAAGAATGGCGCCAATGGAATCACTTTCAAGCCAAACGTGTTCAGCCTGAGTGACAGAGATACCCCGGCGGCTATTTTGCGGAAGCAGAAATCATTGAATATGACTTTCAGTGCGCAGCTCCTTCCAACCAAGTCGGGCCTTGGATACGGAGAGACACTCGGTATCAGCGCTTATTTGAGCGAACTTCAACATCAGGATATTGGAGTCTCTGGCTGTGTCAACAGCACGGGAATGTGCATCTTTACTAGACTGATGATGAACGGCACAGTCGAGGTAATTACTCAATCCCTCTTTGTACCCTTGTGTGCTAATAATCGCCGATCATAATTTAGTACGATCAAGTGAAACTGAACTCGTCAACCATTCCGTCTGATCTGACGCTTCACATTCGCGCCCAACCGCTTTCTTACACCCTCGGATATAGCTTGGGGATGAACGGTACAAGAGATTGGCTGAAAGAACTGTCATCGTCCTGGTTGGCATTTGCCCCTACCAATTGGTTCGTTTTTGAGGGCACCAGCTTTGCTGTTTTCGCGACTAGTACGGGGAAACCTTGGCCGCCGCATGCCCCAGAAGTAGGATTTTCTAGGGTGACGGAGACATACTTTGAGGAAAACATTCCCGACTATGATAACTGGTGATAAGCTGTAGTTCAAATTAAACAATCGATGAGGCACTTGACTTTGTGAACCTGGCTCGTAGCTCCTCTTAGCAGCGGGCAAATCGCCGCGTAATCTCAACCAGCTGTTCGGACTACGGATAATACGGTGGCAACCACCTCTTCCTATCCTTTGTGGCATTGGACATAACTGAACAGGAACCATATATCGCGCAATCACCTGGCCTGCGGATCTCATTCAGGAATCATAAACTAAGCTTATCTGCTTCATTCTGATTATCTGAGATGTTATTGTCTGTAAACTTTCAAGTGTAAAAGTACTGTAATGGCTCTTGCAAGTTCCCCTCCTTTTACCCGTCAGTTTGATATTCTGCCTGGGTTGTTGTTTCGGAGTAGTGATCGACCTGCCTTGGAAGGCAGCAGGATGTTTCATTCATCTCTGTTATCTCCCCCTTTGTATCGAATACCCGTAAGTTCTAGGTGTTGCAATATACCCGGGATGCACATCCTGAGACTGTGCGCCTCTGTTCTTTGTCCTGAGTTGTGTAGGTAGATTCCCAATATCAAAAGGGTCAAAATTCATATTTTCTTCACCTTCTAAACTCACTCTCTTGACTCTCTTTTACATCGCGTGCAATATCTACGTTTCAGAAGAAGCTGCTTGATATATCGGGGTTTACAAATTCAATCAACAAAAACGCATCCGCGGCAACAAAACGACATCGAGATCATCCATCACTGTCTTTCGATGTACGGTTACCTACGGCTTTGAAAAGAAAAAGAAAAGGAAAAGGAAAAGAAAGAGGAAAAGAAAAAGGCCCAGAAAACAGTCCGTAAGTTTGAGAAACCGGATGGAAAGCACACAAGACTTGATCAATCGGCGAAACTCGTTTACACGCACTGCCCATGCTGGTATATGGAGGCCCCTCTATTTACATGAAATCACTACCAATGAAAGTGAGTTGAAAGCGGTTTCTGCAAATTACGTTGCACCGCTACGACTAAATATATTTGTTGAGTCTTCTTGCGCTCAACGTAGATTATGGTTTTGCCAGTTTGCTGGACATATGAACAATATAAGTGATGTTTGAGGGCATCTTGCGTTCTCGGAGTCAGTTACTAATTGCCATGCTTTAGACTCAGGAGCAAGTACGCTTTTACAATCGAAGGACGCAAGCACAAGTACCGACCTGTCCAGGATTGATTGACTGTTTTCAAATCTATACGCATCGCTGTTTGCAAATCCTTCATTTCTTCCTACCAAGAGTCGCCGGTCTTTTGAACAAACGAAATACAACATATTCAAAATTGCTGAAGCAACCCGACACTGCTTATTCCATGTACCCCAGTAGGGTCGGAAGTTCATTTCGCCTTGAGGCTAAACAAGCAAGTCAATGCGGGTTCATCCGATGCTACTGGAAGCCATTGTTTGCCGATACAAAGCGTATTCCGATCCGATTGGCAAGGGACCAGTGGAGAAGATCTGGTTAAATTAGTTCATCGGCAATTTATTGACAACGCGGAACAGGCCGAGGATTGGCGAGGAGAGAGAGATGCGGGGAATTGATTAGGGGTTTGCCGAGCGGGTTTATCAGCGAGTTATAAGTCGAGGTGCTTCCTATATTCCCCTTCTCACATATCGCCAACATGCAATTAAGAGGTATGTAGAGCCTATCTCATTCAGTAATCCTTATCTCATTCGCCACAGAAGATACCAAGAATGCGCTGGGCGACATCATCAATCGCTACCGACCAGAGCTAAGGCCATTCGAAGACCTCTACCAACACCTCCACGCCCACCCAGAACTATCAGGCGAAGAAGAGCAAACCGCCAAAAAGGCAGCCGACCACCTAACAGACCTCGGATATGAAGTCCACACCAAAATCGGTGGCCACGGCGTCGCAGGCGTCCTCCGCAACGGCGCAGGCCCAACAATCCTACTGCGGGGCGACATGGACGCACTGCCCGTAGAAGAGCAAACAGGCCTAGCATACGCCAGTAAAGTAATTGCCAGAGACACTGATGGCAAAAAACAACCGGTGATGCACGCCTGTGGCCACGACACCCACGTTACATCCCTCATGGCCGCATCGACCCTCCTCCACGCCGCCCGCGACCACTGGAGCGGGACACTGATCTGCATCTTCCAGCCTGCCGAGGAACATCTCGATGGCGCACAGGCGATGCTCAACGACGGACTCTACGATAAGATCCCCAAGCCGGATCTTGTCCTCGCACAGCATGTCATGCGCATGCGCGCCGGCACGGTTAACTTGCGCGCCGGCCCGCTCCTTACAGCGGCTGATGCATACGACGTGCGGATCTTCGGACGTGGCGGGCACGGCTCAGCGCCTCAGACGACGATCGATCCAATTGTACTTGGGTCGTCGATCGTGACTCGGCTGCAGTCTATTGTGTCGCGCGAGGTCACGCCCGGTAAATTGGCTGTCGTGACTGTTGGCAGTATCCACGCGGGCCAATCGCACAATATTATCCCTGCTCATTTGGACATGCAGTTGAATGTGCGCACCTTCGATGCGGCTGTGCGTGAGCGTGTTTGTGCTGCTATTCATCGCATTATAGAGGCTGAGTGTCAGGCTGCTGGTGTGGAGCAGAAGCCTGAGATTAAGCTTACCTTCTCGACGCCGTCGACGATTAATGATGGGAAGACTATTGATGCGCTGAAGGAGACGTTCGCGCCGTACTTTGGGGACGACCTGGTGGAGATGGAGCCCCCGAGTGCTAGTGAGGACTTTTCTTTGCTTGCTACTGCTGTTGGAGCGCCTTATGTTATGTGGATGTTTGGTGGCACTGATCCCGAGACTTGGAATGAGGCTGTTAAGAAGGGCACTCAAGATACGCTGCCTAGTAACCACTCGCCTTTCTTTGCGCCGGTCATTCAACCTACTTTGAAGACTGGTGTCGATGCATATGCGCTTGGGGCTTTGACTTTCTTGCAGAAGAAGTAAATAGGAATGGTATCAAATCCAACAGTTGAATACTTCCAATGTTTACGCGATAGGATAGTGAGGTCATCGCGGATCACCAAGAAGAAAGTGGCCACCTGACTCTCCCCATCTTTCTCTTTCTCTTTCTCTTCCTCTCCAACATACATTTCCATAATGGCCACTGAACAATCCAAAATGAAAGCCTGGCTCTACACTGACACAACGAATGGCCTTGAAAACAACCTCAGCTTCACCTCGGAAGCCCGCACCCCACCCGCACTCCGCAATGACGATGTCCTAATCACAGTCCTCTCAGCCTCCCTCAACCCAGCCGACTACAAATTTCCAGAAATGGGCCTATTGATGCGGAAGCTAGTTATCGGCACTCCCGCCTCCCCGGGAATGGATTTCTGCGGCCGCGTAGTCGCAACAGGACCCGACGCGACGAATTTCTCACCGGACCAGCTAGTCTACGGAAATTTAGGCAAGCCCTGCCAATTCGGGACCCTAGCCGATCTCATAGTGGCTTCGGCTAGCTTGCTGGTTCATCTACCGGAAGGCGTGGAGGTTGATCATGCTGCTACACTCGGTGGTACCGGGCAGACGGCGTACCAGTCATTGAAAGGGTATGTCAGTGCCGATGATAAGGTCTTTATTAATGGTGGGTCTGGTGGATGTGGGATCTTTGCTATTCAGATTGCGAAGGTGATGGGATGTCATGTGACGACTACTTGCTCGACGAAGAATGTTGAATTTTGTCGGGGGCTTGGTGCTGATGAGGTTATTGATTATACCGCCGAAGAGGATCTCGTTGCGTCGCTGCGTGAGAGGGGGTCGTGTTTGATCATATTGTTGATCATATAGGATACCCTGCTACGTTGTATCGCCAGTCTCATCATTTCTTAGCGCCCGGGAAGACGTTTGTGCAGGTTGGGGTTCCAGGTATGGGGACCATTGCTGAACGGATGCTTTTGCCTGGTTTCCTTGGTGGGGGGAAGAGGAAGTATGTAATTTTCGTCACTAAGAACAACAGGGAGGATCTTGTTCAGCTTGGGGAGTGGGTTCAGAAGGGGACTATCAAGGTTCAACTGGATACTGCTTATGAGCTTGAGGATGCCGTCAAGGCATTCAAGCATCTGCGGTCTGGCCGGGCTAGGGGAAAGATTATTGTTCATGTTGCTAAGTCTTGATGGCATGACATTGAGCTATCCGGTCTTTTTTGGTGTAAGTATCATAGTTTTAAGGTTTAAAAGTTTTCCAGTACCCTGGCACTCTTCCGTACTATATCAGGACCGTTCTGGTCCAAGGAAGGCATAGGAGCATCCATCAACCTCATGCTTTGAGTCACCACAATCGTCATATTCCTTTTCTTCCGTTTCTGCTTACACCCTCCCTCATCTCAACACAACGCACCCGACACTTTTCGATATGAAATCTCCACACCTGCCCTTTCTGGGCGCATTCTCCAAGCTTCCAACGGAAATTCGCTTGGTCATCTGGGCCGACCTTTTCTCTGAAATTCACACGCAATCTGCCATCCATAGCAAGCCAAAAACCAACCCCCTATCGATCCTCCCCGTCAGTGGATACCTTTACAGCGAGATCTCAGTACACCTCTACTCTCATATGAAACAAATCATTTCAGTGAACGGGGAGTATGACAGAGGAAGCTGGATGTCCATAAAACTGAAGTCCCGGGTGGTCGACGTGACCTGGAACTTGAAGGACAAGGCAGGTGCTGAAAGATACTTCCAAAGCTTTCCTTATCAAAAGGCCGGTCTCAAAATCAAAATCAAAAGTCCAGATACAACTGACCCAGGCCAAGTCGTGTTGATCTGGCAGAAAGTGAATCATCTGCTTGATAATCTGATGACTTTGCCGTGCCAATTTCAAGATCCAGAGGTTGTTTTTGCAGGACAGAACTGGCATTCCATACTGCCACCTCCGCACTGGCGACTTCGAAAACGTTGTTTTTTGGAGATGGGAGGTTTACGGCAGTCGATTCCATGTGAACGGAGATTCTATTGCCCTGACTATGATATTGTAATGATGCCTTTTGCTCGAGCATTTCTCAAAGATGTCCCAGAAGATCCATCGAAGATGACCGACGAAGAGTTCGATCGTCTGCATCAGCACATCTTAGCTAAGTTCTCAGACAGTGGAGCCAAAATGAGGTTGTCATGGCTTTTCCCACTCACCAAAGAGACCATCGTCCCGCAGATTGAACAGTGGCTCCTAGAAACAGAGATCTTCATGGAGGAAAGCCTGGACTCTCTAACCGGCAGAACGGCATGCTTCCTTCGATTAGACCGCTTCCAAAACTGGTACAACGACGGCAACAGCTGGGAATCGCCTTACGAGAAACGATTCCTCGAAAAGCTAGACAGAGACCACAAAACCATCCTCGAATGGGACCCTGGCTTCACAAATACTATTCGGAGATGGCAGGCCATGATTCTCAACCATCACTACATATGTATAATGGTGAGCCCACAGCAGAAAGGTCTGTTTCTTGGGTGGCGTATATTCCAGCTGATGGATACAAATTGGGACTCGGCAGCGTGGCCTGAACTCTGGCCGACGGGGATACCAAGCATCACAAGACACTCTTACGTACTTAATACCTTTGACTCCCAGGTAGTGGCTGCTCACTGCAGCCGGCTTTCGAAAGCCATGAAAGAAAATGGAGAGCAGAATCATGCGGCTTTCGGCTTGAAACTGCTGTTGCGGGCTCCTGGGACATCCCAGGAATTCCGAGATGTTGGCGAGGACCAAGTATGCTGGCATTGTTTAAAATCTCGGCCATGTGATCATGATATGGGGTTGAAGGTATTGGCTGGGTGAGCCATAGCACACTCACTCTTTGGATATGAATTTTGTGGGGGATAGCTGGTGGGTGATTTTGAAAGAGAACATTGGACAGTGATTACCTAGCTAATTTCTGATGTAAACGCATGTAAGCAAGCTGAAGACAGGGGTATAGCATTGCTATTGAAATAGCTAAATTGAACTATTTACGCTTGCCCAATCTCTTTCAGAAATCTCTTCTGTGCATCAACGGTGTTACTCTTCAAACCTTCCACAATATCTTCAAGTTCATCACAGATCTGCTTTGCCTTCTTGCCATGAATCTTAACCTGTCCCCCTTGATAATCCTCAGGTGTAGCACTGCCTTTTCTGAGATCCCAAAAGCCAGCTTGGACGACTGGGTCAACGAAAATGTCTGAGGAGTCTTTTCTGAAATGCTCCTTATAGAACAGCACAGACGAAGTCATCACTAAGGTCAAACTTAGCAAGCATTCAGGAAAATGCAGCGGAGCAGGGAGCAGAGAGGTAGTAAGTACCGTGACAGGAAGCTACTATCTCCCGCGAGTCTTCCCTCAATATGTCCATCTTCATCCGCTTTTGGAAATGGTCCACTTTGACAACAGCGAGAACATTGTGGAATAAACATGTAACAGCCAAAGAATCTTTCAAAAATTCGAGGCGCTGCACTGGCCTGCATCGTATTCAAAGTTTAGACCTCTTCAATAAAGCAGATATCAATCTCAAGGGCTTACCATTCTTTCTGGACAATAAATTCATCCACGCCGTTTGTTCTTGTAGATTCCCACTCTCTCACGGCATCTTTCATTCGATGAAACATATGAAACAGCTCTACTCTCCAGTTAGAGCGGCCGAGTATACGTAAGCAGGTAAGGGCACATTACCATCGAGAGATCCGAGAGTAGCGGATATAGTTTGGATGGCCTCTCCACTCTGGTTAGTGAATACAATAGCTTCAGATCCCACTATCTGAAAATCAAGCCCAAGGACTTTGAAAGTTAGAATATTATGCCTAGCTGCCGGCTCCATGGAAATCTCTTACTATTTTCCTTGAATACCACCGCCTCCTCGTTATTTGGTTTTGTCGAGCACGCAAGCATGACAAGATCGCCTTCGACGGGATAATCAAGATATAGATAGGGATAGATGTATGACTTTTCGGTACCATCTGCGTAGCCTATCTGTACATGTTGGACTCTGATCAAGTTAGAAAAGACAATTCCGCACGATCCATTGTGGTGGTACATTTACCTCTTCTGGTAAGGCGAGTGGTGGTAGAAGTTGTTCGACAGAATGAATGCCATATCCATGCGCTGCAGATATTTTACTGCATCAAGACGTCCTAAGAAGGTCTCTCGGTCTATTGACTGTGAGTCTTGTGCAGTTACCCACAGCGAAACTTCTTCATACCTTGTACGCTCTCGAAATTGACGAGCACCTGTTGGGAATCCGGGCTTGACTTCAGGGCAAACTGTTCAAGTGCGAGGTGGAACTGCTCTTTGTCGTCACGCTCGTCAAGCTGACTTAGAGGGCATACACTGCCCTTGGTGTTGCACCGGGCAATTACCAAGCTGCATTTGCCCACTGATACAAAGAAGCGTTCGGTCGGTTGGGTCATAGAGGCTGGACAATGTTAGATCACGATTTAGGTGGTGGGTGGAAACGAACACTCTTCAAGCTGTATAAAATATAAATCCCCGGGTTTTGGTCCTTTGAATAGAATGTGTGCCCGTATAGGTGTTAGCATCTCGTTCGCTAGGTGTTGCTCCCAGCAACAGAACAAGCTGATCTTATTCGGACCAACGGATCTGCAGATGTTGTAGTCAGATACAGAATGGAAAAGGTGGATTGGAATTCTCACATTTCACTGATGCAAACGAGGCTTGGGCTGTTCAGGTCAGGGGCGTCTTTGCCTTCGTCCTGGTTTATACCGAAGACCCCTGGGACTGTCCAGCCAGTGGTTTTCGGTCCTGAAATGATGTACGAAGCAGGAATATCATCATCACCAACAACCGAGTTTGACGAACTATCTTCGGAATCGCTTGTCTGAGAGGCCTGATTGTCTGTCTGGAAGCCTGCCAACTTCTTTCTCCACGACAAGGGTGTCCGAACTGCAGAAGGGATAGGTGGCGCTAGTAATAGCTTCTTCTGCACTTGAATGAGCACATCCTCGATATTCGTTGTGGTTGTGCTAAGCACCTTCGTCAGCAGACTACTCCATCAAAGCATGAAACAGCATACCTCGTTTGGACAGATAATAACAAATCCAGTGAAAGCTTGTAGCTCTCTACCTTTCTCAACAAGTCCTGAATGTCCTTTTCTTTCAATGTCCATTTAACTTTCTTCTTCAATGCTGCAAGTTTTGAGGTCGAGACAAATCCCTCCAAGGACTTCTGCAGTTGGAGATAAGTATCGCCGCAATCATCCAGCGTAGAGTTGAGTGCATCAAGCCATTCAGAATTCTTGGTTTCCTTCGCAGACTGGAACTGTACGATCTGTTGGATCTGACATAGTATACCCCGTACAGCTTGGACTTCTCTGAAAATTGATTCTAGCTCTTTGTTGTTCTTGGATTTGATGGTATGGATGATGCTAATGATTTGGGTTGATATTGTGATTAGACCGGCCAATGAAGCGGCGATGGAAAGGGGATCCATTGCTCAGCTGATTTATGCGAATGAATCATTAGAGTGTACTATGGACCGCTGGGCCATCTTTTGTCTTATAGTTATGGCAGGTAGATCCACGGGGGGACATTGTATTCGCTTAGACCCCGGAGCTGTTCTTGGCGACCTCGTATCTGCACGAACACGGCTGAATTCATTTTAGCGCGTTACTACGCCGTATTTCACGGCCCATTCAGGAAGCAGGGAGTAAGACAGAAGTCAGGGGTATAAATGAGATTGGCTCTAAGATGTGTCCGGTCGAAATGAACAAATAACTTCGATATAGATGGGAAATATTCCTAGGCATAATTGTATTAGAGTGCTGCTATTTGCAAACTGGCTTGGCCAGGCAACTTTATCTCTGATATTATTTTACACTCAGAGAGCCGAATGCTTCGAAGGATCTTCCCTCAGAGGTGCCGAGTAATCATCATCGTCCATATCAAGCATTTCAATCCGGTGGTTCGTCATGTTCTCCTGGGTCTGCGTCTCGACCTGCTTTTGCAGCCGTACATCCTCTCCGAATCCTTCCTGGCTATTCAAGGTCTCCCGCGCAGCAGATGAATTTGGGTCTTTAACACCAGCCTCGCGCTGGTTCTGTTGTAGTTCCTTTTCCTGTCGCTTGACCTCGGCGGCAAGTGCAGCCTCCTCCCGTTCTATTTCGTTTGCATCCAGGTCTTGCAGCCCAGTGAGGGTGAGGATTCTTCCCAGCAAGTATTGATAGCGTAGATGGCCACTGATCATCTCGCTCACATCGAGATTTTCGACGCCTGGAACACCCTCCACTTTCTGCAGTCCGGCGACACCAAGCTGCAAACTGCTAGTTCGGTAGAGGAAAGCGAGGACGGCATCGTTCTCAGAGAACACGTTCACGAGACGACCGCTCACGACGCTGCGCATCAAGCGCCAGTGCTCCGCATTGGATGGGGTAGGTGATCCCATCAGAATGACAGACTCAACGAGACCGTAGGCGTTTCGTCTCGCCAGAGTTTGGAGGCAGGAGAAGATCAACCGAGACCCGAGAGAATACCCAATCAGAGTCACAGGTCGTTCTCCCTGAGCTTTGTTGATGAGAACATCGGCAAGCACCTCACCTGCTTTGTCGGCACGAGACTTGGCGACACTGAATGGATTATCGACAACACCAGCAACCTTCAAGAGACCAAGCGGAAGCATTACAGCACTCATAAGCGTGTGGAAAAAGGTGCGTGCCAAGACTTCACGTCCAGCAACCGACCATGCGGCGCTGGTAACAAGTGCCGAGATTGCATTGCCCAAGTTCATTAGAGGTTCCATCTCCCAGCGAAGACCAAACACCTCTGAGTTGGAACCAACCACTTTCCATGGGACAGTGAAGTTGGACTCTTCCTTGACCCATCCGGTGACACCAATGGTAACCCGTAACCGATGATCCTGCCGGGCTGCCTCACTATCTTTTTCATCTCGAGACCGCTGCCCCCGAGTAGGGAGGAACGCAAAGTCGTCCACCTCACGGGCGTACTTGTCCATCATGCGGCCAGTCATACGGCCTCCGTAAGCACCGAAGAGACCGCCGACAACAACACTACTACCAGCCAGGACACCCAAGTATCCAGCAGCGGCAGTAGCACCGAGGCCCAGGCCACCCATAACAGTTCCAAGACCTGCAGCCACTAAAGGAGCTGCAAGTCCACCAGTCAGACCAATCAGGGCGGCACCGGCTACAGACGCGATGCCAACCTTCCACTTCCTCATGTCGTCTTTCTTGGGATCCTTCTTGTGTTCTTGGTCTGACAACGCTAAAGCCGTATCTAGCAGACCACGTGCAACCTTGACTTCGTCTTCATTCAACACGTTGATATCTATGTTCAAACTAGACGCGACATTCAACATCAAGACTCGGGAGTAGGCGCTGTAATGCTTTAAGCTGAGCATCAACAGAAGAAGCGAATGTAGAATAAGCAATCTTGTTGCTTTTGGAAGTTTGATCAAAGGCGTTTCCACAGGGTGATAGATTTCTTGTAATTTTTCCAGGCTATGTTCATCCTCTTTAAAGGGAAGTTCGTCAGACTTTGCAGCCTTCTTCATTTCTTCCGAGGCTTGATGCTGTTCCTCATCGTCATTTTTGTTGACAACCTCGCCAATCCGCAAAAGTACAGAATCCCGCCAGTCCTCGAAAATGGAGAGTGCAGTGACCTTGGCTTGCGGTTTCAGTGGCTTGCTAGCCTCAGTTTGTGGGCTGCCACCCTTTCCTGCAGTCATGTTGTTTGGCCTTGGGGGCAGGGGCGGTGTGTCTTCGTCAGTCTCCTCGGTAGGAAGAGGCTTGCGTGGAATCGACTGATTAGGCGACTCATCCTTTGAGTCTGACTTTGAATTTGGGATTGGGTTTTCGAATATTTCCAGGACACCAATTCGCATGGACTCTGCGACCTCAGCAACAAGAATGGTCAAGTCAGCACGTTGCGACCGGTCCAAGATGGAGCTTAGATCTTGGCCGCGGTCGCTTTCTGGAACATTGTTGTTGGATTGCTTGGAATCGAACAATGCCGCATGTTTTTCTTTGAGACTTTTGAACATTGGCGCCAGATGGGGATAGACAACAGGTTGACGACCTCGAAACGAGCAGAAGCTGAGCAAAGTTGTTGGAGAGGGGCGATGTTGTCATAGAGCTCCAGCTTGGGGGCCAGCTGACTCAGACTTTCTGCCCAAGGCAAACAGGCAAATATCGCTGATACTACTTTGCTTGCCTCCATGGTGAATGAGTATGTCTTATATAGATCCAATACCCGGGGGATAGACAGGACGGAATCAATTGCCGATTTCAACGACGAAATACTTCCCCTTTGTCTTCGTCGCGGAGCCAAGCGCATTCCCATCCCAAGCCGTCCCATCTGGACGAACATTCTTTTCGCCTGGAATTCGCTGGATTCTTCTGCGTCTTCCAGACACTTGTTCCTTGAGCAAAGCCCCTTTGAGCCGTTCCATGCCAATGGTATTCTCCTCAACTGCAGCAGAGCTTTCGTCGCGAATAGAAGGAAGCGGTGCGACGCCAGTAGTATCAACGAGTTGGATCTCCTTGACAAAATGGATTTGAGACTCGAGTGTCTTCAGCATTGTCTGCTCTTCTTCTTGGTTGGCGGGTTGAGGAAGTGCCGAGATGCGCAATAGATGGTGAAGTTGTTTCGGCGTCACCGTCTCAGATGCAGATGGTCCTGAAGCTGGATCGGGAAGCAATGATCTGACAGACCAGTTTGGCTCGCCGAGAATAGACTCGATGTCAGCAGTAGCGGATTTTCTGGAAGAATAGCAGCGAGAGATGTTGGTGTTGAATCGGTATGAAGAACGCAGCGACTTGGACAGTCGAGCACCAGCGCGTAAAGAAGCCATTGCAAAGAATTAACAATCAAGTAAACCGTCTAAATGCGATATAAGCCAAAGATACCGGCAAATGTAGCAATCTGCAAAGTGCAATATCAAAGTCGCCGTGAGGACAACACTTGAAGCTTAGGCGGAGACCGAAAAATAAAGGGACACCGCCTCCAGCGGGACCGCCGATCGATGCTCTCATCGATAGACCCGTTGGCCACACTCCTTCTAACAATATCTGCGGATTCCTCCCTGCAGTGAACATAACTCAAGATGACTCAAGACCCCCGTGTTCTGCTCCAAAAAGTACTTCCCCGTACTCTCTCGCCTTGTTTGCATGGAGACCTAGGCAATGACGAAAGTGCAAATAGCTGACCATGACCTCGCTCTGCGATGAAATAGGCTGACAAAGCGCTCTCCGGCGCCTCTGGTGGCTTCAGTTGGTTTGGAGGACGCGCAGAGAAGTACGAGAATGCCGCAGATCTGTATACCCAGGCTGCAAATGCATTTCGAGTACAGAAAATGAGTGAGAGATACCCCGCCGCCCGGCCAACACCCATTTGATGTGTAGTTTAATGCAATAACTGAACTGATCACTGATATGTGTTGCTTTTGAACAGACAAGGAGGCAGGTCAGACTTTCGAGAAAGCTGCCTCCATCCAGACCCAGAACCTTAACGAACCTGACGACGCCGCCAATACCCTCCAGGAAGCCTTCAAGGTCTACCGCAAGTCAGACCCTGAGGATGCTGCCCGTGTTCTTTCGAGTGCTATCCAGCACTACGTACTACGAGGAAACCTGCGCCGTGCGGCGACGCAGCAGCAATACCTGGCCGAGGTGTATGAAGTGGAGCTCGGAGATATGAAGAAGGCGCTTGACTCGTATGAGAAGGCCGCCGAGTGGTTTGAGGGTGATAATGCCGAAGCGTATGCATTTCATATTCCCTCTGAGCTTTGGATGCTCTTCAAAAGGGGATTCGGCTAACATCGACGTCATCCTATAGTCTCGCAAACAAGCACTTTCTCAAGGTGGCAGACCTGTCCGCTTTGGACAACGACTACTACAAGGCCATCACTAACTACGAGCGCATCGCCCGGTCCTCAGTTAATAACAACCTGATGAAGTGGTCAGTTAAGGATTATCTCCTAAAGGCTGGTATTTGCCATCTTGCCACAAAGGTACGTTGCTCTCGTCCCTTAATACATAGTATAATGCTTACCCCATTTTTACAGGACCTGGTTGAGACAAACCGTGCCCTTGAATCATACCGAGAGCTTGATCCCACTTTTGCTTCTACAAGAGAGCACCAGCTACTCGTGGACCTGACCCAGGCTGTCGAGGGTGGTGACCAGGAGGGCTTCGCTGACAAGCTGTTCCAGTTTGACCAGCTTAGCAAGCTAGACAAGTGGAAGACGACTCTCCTTTTGCGCATCAAGAATAACATTGAGGAGGCTGAGGAGGACTTTTCGTAGACGGCGATTGATTTATTGATTCCCCGCGCGTGATGTCTTTAGGATATTGAGTCCTCGAGTTTTTGGCTTCCGTTTGATTTGTTTTATTTTTGATTGTATCTGTTATGGACATGAATACAAATTACTGAATCTCCTGACGATGATCCGCTTCTTTTTAGCATTTGTGTTGTTAGTAACGATGTCATTCCACTGTGGAAATGCTTCGAGTATATGAATTCGACTCTGACATTCTTAGGCTACGATTGTACGGAGTGGAAGTGCAGGAAATTCGTAATTCATCATTTTAAGATGCCTGGGTCTATATGTGCTTTTTGGTGTATCATGACAGACTCCTTCCTTCAACCAACGGAGCTGTTCTCATCGTCGTGTAATCAATTCAGTCAAATGGTATCATATCATCCACGTCCCCAGTGCCCAAGTCGAGAGCTTAGGCAGCAATCGCCTCCAAAGGCTGAGCCTTCCGAGGGAAAACACGCTTATACAAACTGATACCCACAGAGTCTTGCGGGTTGATCTTGGCGTCGAAGGTAGCCTTGAAGTATCCGTGTGTACCCAAACTCTCCTTAAAGTATCCGCTGCGGCCACGGCGGGTCCACAACTGGAGCGCCTTGAACCATTGAATGTCCTCGGCATTGAAGAACATGTACCGGATGGTAACGACCTTCTTGTGAATCTTGTAAGGGTGACCGGTGAGAATAGCGCGCTTGGCAACGACACGCTTCTGATCCGGTGCAACGACGGTACCAGTACCGATCAACTCAAGGCGGTCCATGTCAATAGCATCTGTGGCATCTGCGGTATCCATCTCTTCGGGGTCCTCAACATGCTTGTTCTTGAAGACGAGGACGGGGACCGCGCCCCAGGTAACGGGCCCAATCCAGGAGGCGATAGCGCTGCGGCCAGGGTGCAGGAAACGGTCGAACTTGTGGACGTTGTTTGGTGTGTTGTCGGCTGCGGAGAAGATAGGGTTGACGATCATGCGGCGAGGACCGCACTGGACGACAAGCTGCTCCTTAGACTTTAGGGGCTTTTCATAGCTAGAGTTTAGTGTCATGTTAATGTTGACCACGGTTTGCTTGTGTTCATGACGGAGCAGCGAGAAGAGCGAAAGCGGCTGGGGCTTGCTGCGCAGAATGGAAGGCACTGCCCGAAGGTGCACATCGACCCGGATACCAGGACTAACACCACCTGCCAAAGCCTCTCTCAGGATGCGGTTCTTGGAACCCTTATAATCAGCAAACTGCAGCAGTCGGCGCCAGTCTTCGGGCTCGTAAGGACGATCCTCGGATGTCTCCCATGCACTGAGCTTGAGGTTCTTCAATCCACGGAAACGGGCCAGACGCTCTCTAGCCAGGACATTGGGGTGCAATTCGATTTCATCCGGGAACTCGAGATCCTCCTCTGCCTCGGTCTTGCGGCTGGCACGGTAGGCGGCCAGTTCTTGGGCCTCGTCCTCTGGAGATGGGTCGAGGAACATCTCCGATTGGGGGTATTCTGAGGGACCACCCTCGGTCATGGCATCCTGGTGGTCAGGGAACACACCATCCTCTGGCGCACCGGCGGTGTCCATTTCCATAGGCTCGTCTTCGTCCTCCAGGTCGGATCCTGAGTCTGAGACATCTTCGAGATACCAAGCAGACTGGTACTTTGAGGTTCCCTTGGGCAACTTCTTAGGTGTTGCGGGAATGTGCGAGTCGTCATCGGAGAAGTAGTGGTAGTCGTCCAGCAGAACACCCTTCTTCTCTGTTTCGGCCATTGAGACCATGTCATCATCAACCATGTCGATTTCTTCAGGGGCGACGGTGGCCATATCATCCTGGTCCGCTGAGGGAGAGTCCAAAACTTGTGTGGTCTCGTTGATATCAACATTCATCGCATCGTCCTTCTTGTTTTTGGTGGTTGCTAGCGGTGCAGCAGTGATCGAATCAATCTGGAAATCGCCCCAGCCGGGAATATGCACGATTCGATCAGCCTTCAGGCCCTTTCCACGAACGACACCGGTGACAACGACGTCATCCACCACTTCCAGGTTGGACTCGGGCCACTGGACGTTCTCGACAAACATCCAGCTGCGCTCATCACGCCAGCGAATGCCCTTGGGAGTGGCAGTGCAAAGGGAACGGATCGCGTTGGAAGATTCCTGTCGAGAGTCGAGAGACATGACCTTCTCAATAGTCGGGAAGAAGTGGTTGATGAAAGACTTCAACGAAGCAGCGACACCGGGGCGCTTTTTGGGAGGGTCAACGCGGTTGAGACCCTGTACAACAGTCACAACGTTTGAAATACCCTGGCTTTGGATCGAGCGCAGCAGCATCTCTCCATCATCATCAACCTCAACTTGGGATGACAACACCAACATGACGAAATCGGCCATACGACACACATCCAGGGCGCTGATCAAGTCGTACTTGGCCGGAACATACTGCACACTTTGGCGGAATCGATCGATACGCACGCGGGTAGGTCCATCGGGCGAGACCTCACTCGCTACATCGACACTCTCGTTGAGGGAGGTAATAGCGGCGGCAACGTCGATATCGGGGGACAATGGCACAACTGCGACGTGACGAGGAGCACCGCTCTGACCGGCGAAAATGCTGGTAGCTTGGGCCCGGTCCTGCTGCTTCGTTGCCTGCCTCTGGCGGGCGGTGTTTCGGCGATCGAGTTTCGACTTGAGCTGTTGGTGGGGTGTCTTGCGTGAGCCCCGCTCATCACCTTCAATTTTGCCTAAAATGAAACATGTTAGAATGTGCGATTGAGTATAAACATTAACACAATCATACCTTTGGCCTGGTCTTTCAAGGCACTCTTGGAGGCATGTTTGCTCTTGTAGGGCTTGTGCGAAACCTTGGTGGTGGACCGGTGGTGGTGCACCGTCTGGGAAGGCGCCATATTGGCACTAGACCCTTTGAAACGGAATGGGAGAGAGTCCAGATTGAAGTCCGAGGATATTCAGAGGTCCCAGGTAATACAATGCGAGCAATATGCAATATCAACAAAGCACGAAGTGTTCGCAAAAAAAAAGAAAAACCGATAAGAAAACAAAATTCGCCAGTGGAGGATAAGCGAGCGGTGAGTGCAAGTCTTGGCAACCTTTTGGGCAAAAAGACATTTTTTTCGGGAGCTTCTCGACCATCGCTGAATCTTTCCGTTGGTCTGCCTCACAAAGAATTTGAAAATGGCCGATTCATCCTCGAAAATGGCCGTTGCTCCCACGGAAGACCGCGCAGCCAAGCTGAGACTGGCTGAAGCCCAGAAAACATACGGACGAGGCAAAGCCAACAATGTGAAAACTGCACGAGACAAGAAGTTGCGTTCGAACCTCCAGAGACAGGAATACAAGCACAAGCAGGCTGTTTTACAAGCGCAGGATGCCGAGATTCTACTTGAGCACACCGAAGGATTCCTTGAACCCGAAGCCGAACTCGAACGGACATACAAGGTTCGCCAAGATGAGATCAAGGCCAGCGTTGGAATCGAGACCGCAAAGAAAGGATTCGAATTGAAGCTCACCGACATGGGCCCCTACCGTATGGACTACTCACGAAATGGACGTGACCTGCTGCTGGCTGGACGGAAGGGACATGTTGCGACGATGGACTGGCGCGAGGGCAAGCTCGGTTGTGAGTTGCAGCTGAACGAGACCGTGCGGGATGCTCGCTGGTTGCATAACAACCAGTACTTCGCTGTTGCGCAGAAGAAACACACCTATATCTACGACCACCAGGGAACTGAGATTCACTGCCTCAACAAGCACCTGGAGCCACTTTTCCTGGAGTTCCTGCCCTATCATTTCCTCCTTGCAAGCGCTGTGAGTTCTCTCGACTACTGAATATTCTGCTCCCGGCTAATCAACTTGTCTGTAGCAAATGAGCGGTCACCTCAAATACACCGATACCTCGACCGGCCAAACCGTTGCTGAGCTGCCTACCCGGTTAGGCAAACCTACAGCTCTCGCTCAGAACCCATGGAATGCCATCATGCATGTTGGACATCAGAATGGAACCGTGACACTATGGTCTCCCAACTCTCAAACCCCGCTTGTCAAGGCTCTTGTGCACCAGGGTCCCGTCCGGTCAATGGCAATGGACCGCCAAGGCCGATACATGGTGTCTACGGGCCAGGACCAGAAGATGAATGTGTGGGATATCCGCATGTACCGCGAGGTACACTCATACTCTTGCTACCAGCCCGGCGCATCGGTTGCCATCAGTGACCGCGGCCTAACTGCCGTCGGCTGGGGCACCCAAATGAGCGTATGGCGAGGCTTGTTCGACGCCGCCACGGCTGACCAGGGCAAGGTGCAGAGCCCATATATGGCCTGGGGCGGAGACGGGCAGCGCATTGAGAATGTACGCTGGTGTCCATACGAAGATGTTCTTGGTGTCGGACACGACCAAGGATTCGCCAGTATTATCGTCCCCGGTGCCGGAGAGCCCAACTTCGACTCTCTGGAAGCCAACCCTTATGAGAACGTCAAGCAGCGCCAGGAGGCCGAGGTTCACTCTCTGCTTACCAAGCTGCAGCCCGACATGATCTCGCTCGACCCCAACATCATCGGAAAGCTCGACACTATCAACGACAAGAAGGTCCAGGAACACCGCAACCCCGAGCAGAAGGAAGACCACATGGAGAAACTCAAGAACCGCGGTCGTGGCCGCAACAGTGCACTGCGCAAGTACCTCCGCAAGAAGGGTGGCCGCAACGTTATCGACGAGAAGCGTCTCAAGGCCGAGACATTGCGCAAGGAGCATGCCGCTCGCACGAAGGACAGACTCAAGCAGGAGCGTCAGGATCTGGGACCGGCTCTGTCCCGGTTCGCCAAATAAGATCGCTGATTTCGTTTCTTGCTTGTTTGACATCCTTGTCGAGCAGGAGGGTAACCAACCTACCAAAAAAAGCACCCAGATACCCAGCCCACACACGGCTTCTGTGACATTTGTTGGAGATTTGGCGACTGCTGCATTCCAGGCGTTTCTCGGGGAAATATATGTTTGTATTCGGGCAAAAAAGCAGTCAGTTACGAGTGTACCATCTACTTCCAACATTACCATTGAATATATTGAATTCCAATTGCATAGACCAAACCAATCCTTTTCTTCCCAGAATCTATATCTTACCTAGATATAGACACTCTCCACTACTCATCAACACTCCCGGAACCCCTCACAGCACCCTCCTTCCACCGCCTCAAACTCTCCTCATAAGCACCACTCCCCTTCCAAGCACTGATAATCAAATTAACAATATGATCCATCCCCTTCCCATCCTTAACAACAGCAAAAACAGTCGGGCCTCCCTCACGCATCTTCTTCGCATCGCGCTCCATAACACTCAAATCAGCACCAACAGCAGGCGCAAGATCAATCTTGTTCACGACAAGCAAGTCAGACCCCGTAATTCCAGGCCCGCCCTTGCGAGGCACCTTGTCACCGCCCGCAACGTCAATCACGTAGATGATGAAGTCTGCCAGCTCGCGCGAGTAGTTGGCTGCTAGATTGTCGCCGCCGGACTCGATTAGTAGCAGGTCGGTTTGGAATTGCTTTTGCAGTTTCTGCAGGGCTAGCAGGTTAGCGCTTATGTCTTCGCGCACGGCGGCGTGTGGGCAGCCGCCTGTTTCGATGGCACGGATGCGAGAAGGGGCTAGGGCTTTATGGCGGGTTAGGAATTCGGCGTCTTCTCTGTTTTTGGTGAACGGTTGGTTAGTATGTTGTTTGGTTGTGGTGTATGTTGTGGTGTGGGTATGTCATTTCTCTTACCTGGTGAAGATATCGTTCGTGACAGCAGCGATGTTATACTCGTCACGCAGAGCCTGGGAAAGGGCCAGCATCAGAGCAGTCTTGCCGGATCCAACTGGTCTATTCGGTTGTGAGCAATTGCCTATACCTATGTCTATATCTATCGACAGGCTGGTATCAACGATAGACATGAACCACGCCTACGAAGCATGACAATGTCCTCTTTGGTGGATGCTACATACCCGCCAATACCAATGGTGAAAGCACGATCCTTCCAGTCACGTCCCTCAATCAGTGGCATCTCCCGGTTGACGTAGGAGCCTGGACCATCGAGGATATCGTGGGAGTGGCCGTGGCCGTTGAAGGGGTCATCGTGGGAGTGGCTGATGCCAGCATCGTGAGAGTGAGAGTGGGCCATTTTGGAGGTTATAATTGCGATAGGATATGGTAGAGGAATGGTTAGGGAGAAGGAGGGGCAATGTTTTCCTAAGCAAGGGAGAAATGGTGGGGAACTGATATGTGATAACAAAATGCCGAGCTGCTATCATTTGGCCGATGCCGAACGGAGTTCGCCGGCGTGTGGGGATATTGAGATATATCATTACTATATTTCGAGTATTTCCGGATGGCTATTGCATATTTGATACTACGAAGCAATATAATGAGAAAGCAGGTATTTGTGGATTCGTCAAAAAAGCGGCAGGAAGAGGACAAACCCCAAGGGAAAGTGTCAAAAATATCAAAGGCCACCAAGCAAAAGGCCAAATGGAACACCCCAATGCACGCAGATGACGTCCCAAAAATGAGACTTCAAAACCGGACGCCGGTTCAGTCACCAAACACGGATATCAATAATTCTGTCTGTCCAAGAAACAGACAAGCAAGGACATAGCGAAGAATAGCTAAAGCCTAAACAGGACAAAACCAGAAGTCGTCAAATCCTAATTATGGCAGAAGGATCAAAGAAAAACCCGAACGCGAAAAGTGAAAACATGCAATGTCAGGCGGTTATCCCGAGCCAACCAAGGAAACGCTGAAAGGAAGATAGAGTACATTAGGTCGGAGTCAAGTGGGATCGACAAGGCCCGGCGCCATCTCCTAGTGAGGATGATGGGGAGGCCACATGCAATTATATCCCGTTGGACTGTGAACTGGGTCGTCATGTGCCGAAAACGCATATGGATCTATCAAGGCGATGGAAGATCCGAAAGAGGAATAAACAAACAAGGGTGGGCGATATGTTTTGCCCAGGTATCCAGTCGTACGCCAGTTCCACATCGCCTGAAATGGGGATGAAAAAGAAACCGAGTAAAAGCAAAAGAATTTCAACATAATCAGGCGGCGGCGCCCTTTTGTCGTTTCGGCACCCGGGGGCTAGCCTTAACTTTCGCTGAGCCCTGTTGGAGTGCGCCGTTAGCCTCGACTCCACCACCATCCTCAGACTCCATTTTGACCGTGCTTGCCCGGCGACGTTTGTTGCCACCTACATTTGGACTGTTATTCACACCAGCGGGGGATGGCTGCATTGGTGGTTGCATTCCTGGAGGACCAGTGAGGTTGCTTTGGGCAGGGCTTGGATGCGCTGAGCCAGTCAGATGAGGCGAGCCTTGTTGCCCAGGCAAGCCAAGATGTGCCATAGCCGGTGAGGCGAATTGCGACGGGGCGTTCATATTAGGCCCTCGAACATTTTGCATAGGTTGCATACCCGGGTTCATGGGGCCTGGCGCAAAGCCTGGGTTGGGGTTTTGCGTTTGGAGAGTGTTGACGAGATTCCGCAATGCATCAGGAGGTGTTAGCTGCGGGTTTGACTGCGAGAATTGGAACAGCATCTGCATTTGAGAGATGGTCTCAGCCACCTCCAAGAAGCCCATCACCGGAGTAGGAACACCATTGGCGGTCACCATGGAGTCCGGGAGCGATAATGATGGCGTGGGCTTCTGCTGAGCGCGCTTTGCATTTTTAGGGACCTTGGGGCTTTGCTTCTGCGAGTCGGCCTCCATGGCCAGCAGCAGAGACCGAGGGATGAACTCGTTATGATTGAGAACGTTAATATCAAGCATCTCAAGCCTGTTGTTGACATCGAAATACGCACGAAGTGTGCCATTTGCGAAGAGCTAGAAAGAAAAGTTAGCCGACTGAAAATTCTGACAAAAAGATGGACATGAAGGACGTACCTGGCACTCATTCTTGAACCAATAAACGAATGAGGTTTTGCCGCTCTCCACAATATGACCTCCATTGCCAGACTCCCGCTCACGGGCAGCTTCCACACACATCTGGATTTGAGTGATTCCGCTGGTGAACTGGGTCAGGTAGTAACGCGCAAGGGCAGGTGTCGCAATTTCGAATTGTTTAGACCCAGCGGTGTTGTTCCAGACACCCTGTCGCAACACACCTCCAGGAGAATAGAAGCGCTCGACAAAGGTCTGCCAGTATGAAAGATCATGTGCCTCGCCCCGAGATTGGAAATTACTCAAAACCTCGGCATAGCTGTAGAGGGTCAAAATTGACTGCCCTGTCTGTTTCATCCTTTGCTGCATCATGAGAGCATTCTGGTGCTGTTGCGCTTTCAATTGAGCGTCCTGTGACATCATCTGTGGGTGTTGAGGGCCTTGTGGCTGACCGGGTTGGCCTGGCTGGGGCTGTGCGCCCTGAGGAGTTGACTGCGGACCGGGTTGTCCTTGTTGATTTGGCTGTTGGGCCTGAGGCAGTTGCTGTGGCGGGGGGTTCGGAGTTGCCTGGCCTTGGGGCAGTCCCTGCGACGGTTGTGGTTGGTTAGAGGGAGTCTGAGCAGGCTGGGAGGGCTGCGGTGTACCGCTCCCTGGTGGTGGGCCATGCTGCGACTGGGGAGTGGCGCTTTGCGCTTCGTGCATGTTCGGCGGTTGCGCAGATGCCCGTTGCGGTGTATGCTGGCCCGGCTGCCCGTTATTTGGCTGTTGCGCCTGCTGAATGGCAAAGAATTGCTGCTGCTGGAGGTTTTGCGGCTGGCCATGGGGCATTTGCTGCTGCATGTGCATTCCCATGTTAACGGGGCGCATTCCGGGGTTTGCTTGCATCGCAGCCATTTGAGCGGCACTAATTCCTTGGGTACCATTGGGTAATGACACAGGAAGTCCGTGTTGCTGCTGCTGTGCCTGATGTTGCTGCTGTTGTTGAAGCATCATCCGCTGACGCATGAACTGCTGCTGTTGGTGTTGCTGTAATAATTGCGGATTGTTCGCGACTATAGGATGGCCAACAGTGTTAGCATGCGACCCAGCAAGGTGTCTTGGAAATAATGTGTATGTAGCGGGGGCGATAATCCGCCGCGGAGGGTGCCGATCACGTAACCCATCCACACAATATCTCACAAACAGTATCCAATAACAATGATTAGGCAAGATACTGACAATTTTGAGGGAATGGTTGGCCCTGAAGCATATGCGCCTGCGCGGGATTCAGGTGGGAGAGAGCGTGGGCATTCGGTACGGGACCGCCAGGACCAGCCGTCCCAGCGCCCGGGGGCATCCCACCCATCATCGGACCAGCCTGGCTCACTTGAGGTCCTCCCGGCGCCGATACACCAGGGTGCATTTGCTGTACCATTCCGGGTCCCGGGTGTCCACTTGGATGTTGGCCGGCCATTGGGTGACCCGGGGGGAATCCATGCTGCGGCATGCCTTGGTGGGCAGGGAACGGCTGCGTCATCATCATTGCTGAGCAACGAAGTCACCACTAAGGGGAGACTTCCAAACAGATCGCGACAGTGAAACGACGACGATTCGTGGCAAGGAAAGGAGCGCGTCCAGGATGCGAAGGCCGCTTTTAGCGTCGGGCGGGCCAAGACGTAGCAAGTGACTCCAGTATTCAACAGATATGCTAAAGCATCGATCAGGCCACCTGCAAGTCACTCACCCGCTAACCGGGAACTTTTCTGAAGGAAAGGGTGTCAGTGGGGAGTGATAAGAGGGAGGTCGGGGGAAAGGCCGGGGGGGGCAGGGTAGTTAGGGGGAGGGGCTGGGCTGCGATATAGAGACACGAACTCACCGAGAGGAAGATGTAAACTGATGTTGACAGGGTTAGTAGGGGAGCTGGCGCCCATAAGTCAGAATTAAGGATGATCGCCCGGTGGGAGAGAGAGAACTGGGGACGGAGGATCCGGGTCCGTAGGTGGAGGGAGGATCTAACCGAGACGACAACGCGACCAATATCCCAGGGGAAAAGAAGAAATGAGAACAGCTACAATAGCATGATGAAGGAATTGAAGACTAAATCAATCATTTCCGGTCTTCCACAAGAAACGCGAGGCTTTTTCTCTCATCTCTTCTGATTCCAATCACGCCGCGCTATGCCCAATGGGGAGGTCACGTGGGAAGTCTCTAGTCTTTTTCTTCCGCTTTTTTCTTCCCTTTTCTTCTTCTTCTTTGTCTTCCTTCACTCTCTCTTCCCTGTGTGATTGCAGATACTTCTGTTGTCTCTCTGAACATCTTTGAAGTCTGCAATGGCTGTTCATAACCTTTATTGAGCTATATCGTGTTGCTCTCGAGTGCTCTCATGATGTGGATTGCATTTCAGTGATATGATTGCTCATACTAACCAACAGATCAGGTGCCGGCACCTTTGCCTTTCTGTGAGTACCCCATTGTTTCATTCTCCCTGTTCAAGGATGACAAAACCCTTTACTTCTTTACCCTCCAAATCGACAATGCGGAGATAATTCGGACTTTCCTTTCCCGGTTGGTCTGCTACTTGCCAGTATATCTTGTCTGAGAACATTTTGCCATGCATATTCACTATCATGTCTTGTGAAGAGCTCTCGCTAATATTGCTCTTCAGATATAGTATCCTTATACGCAAACATAAACACGAGACCAAGGCAAATTGATCAGGTGATGAAAAATTTTCGGATGTAAACTCACAGACCTGTTCTTAATGCGCAAAACCGTGTAGAGATTTCCGTTGCCTTCCTTCTGATGATCAATTTGCTTCTGGGATTTTTTACTGCATACTTGCGCTACTACATATTTGAATGAAAATAACTTTCCTGATATACTTGTTGTGGCTGTAAAGCTTTTGATTGAACTTTATTAGCACCCTGGCTGAATGATCATTATATTGTACTGTACTCCGTAGTGGGTACCTAGTCTTACATTATGGCGTGGCTATGTCCTGCTTCTTGACTCGTGGATCTAGGCAATCATGAAATCTCATATTTCCAAGCATATGACATCTTTGTAGCTTCTGTTCCGTGCTGGATGTAGTAAATCTCGATCACGTGATCATATATTTCTACCTCGCAGGGTCCATCTCATGTGCCACTCGCGACTGCGGCAATATCTCGATTTCCGGCGATATCATACACTCAAATCCGGTGACATTGTCCCGGATGTATTCGTCAATGCAACAGGTCCGGCTGTCCATTGCGCGCCCCTGTCGATTTGTCGCTCATCGCCGCTATTCTGCACCATTATCCGCACCCTCGCGTCGTTTCCATCTATCCAGAAGATGGCTCGCGTCACCACCCCAAGATCCTCATAATGCAGAATCTACAGCAGGGGAGGTTACAGAAGACCACACCATCAAAACCGACCAAACGTCGCCCAATGGCCCGCCCGTCCCATCTCCGTCCCCCCGACTCGGTCAATTCGGCCTCGAAGAAGTATGGATCTGCTGTGCGCAGAGCTATGAGAAACCGGAAACCTACCCAGCAGTCATCTAAACCAGCAGCAGCTGTACCTACATGGTTCTTTGAGCGCAATACAGTCTCTCACAGCCCCGAACCCCATGCTCCTACACAATCACTACAGCAGGTTAGGATAGCCAAGTCAGGGCCACCGGAGCCGGATGATGTTACAAATGAGAGTCTGGCTTCTGGGGGGGAGCCCGATTCGTCTGAGCCCAGTGAACCAGCTCCAGAGAACCGCTATGCCGTGGCTCAGGAATCATGGGATGAACTCCGGGCCTCGGTCAAAGCAGGCTTGCGGCTACCACCCGCGAAGTACGCAAAGGAACCATCTGTGAAGAAGTCGCATCTGGCACTTCACTACCCCGGGAATGATGGAATCTTGTTCTTGGATGCGGTGGTGAAAAGACTTTCGCACGAGCTAGGCACTGACCTGGTCACCCTCAATGCCCAGGATATTGCCCAATTATTCAGCGAGCAAGACCTAGCAGATTCCGGGGTAACTTCGCCCATTCGATCTCTTGGTTACGAGGTCTACCGGTCCTCTGTTGCAACCCACTGGTCAGAACTGGAGGATCACGAAGATGGTGAAGACGACGTGGCTGAGATTCCTGGTGGTCCTCGTGGAATGCACGGAGCAATTGGCGCACCTCGGTTTATCACAATCGAGAGCAGCAAGGATTCGGGAGACATTCCACTCCCCAACTGGCTTGGGCTGAAAACACTTTTGGGGTCTATTAATGGCCAACCGGACCCGGATCCCAGTGCTGGAGCTTCTCGGGGTGGCCAGCGTGCTGAAACCCGCTGGACTCAACTTGTCAACGAGATTCTCGGCTCGTCGGGCCATCCAGTGCAGTTGACTACCACATCCAATGCCTCAGCTGAAAGCCCTGAAACGGACGCCAGCAAGGTTCGACTATCACGGGACGTAATTGTGCATATCCAGGACTATCGTGACATTCAGAACACTCGGGAAGGATCCAGGTTCATTTCTCTTTTGCACAAAGTGATCCAAGACCGGAGAGGGGCCGGGTCCAAGATTCTGTTGATCGGAACTACCTCTCAGGAAATCCCTTCTTCGCCCTCGTCAGACGGCCCTGGGCTCCTACAGAATGTTCTTGATGATCAGTTTTCAAAGACTTTGTTCGTCACTCCGGCTATGAACTCAAAGGCTGCAGAAACTGTCTTTGCTGAAGACCGTAAGAAGCGCACCATGGACATTAACATCCGCCACTTGCAAAGCATGCTTCGATTCCGATTGAATGAACAGGCTTTGCCGGTCAAGGACAATATTCTGAGCAACCGTGCCTGGCCCCTAGAGCCAACCACAATCAAAGAATCCGGAATCGAGGATCGATACTGGTCTTACAACCAAGTGCATTGGATTGCTACACTTGCACTCGGTTGTGCAGATTCCAATGAACCCTTTGGGTTTGAACACATTCGCCGCGGTATTGAGCTCATGGATAAAAGTGACCGGGTGACCAATGAGTGGTTGAAGGAGAAGTCTCCCAAGCAAAAAGACTCGGAAGCAGGCCAAACTCGCGAGCAGCTTCTGGCTACTTTGCGCAAAACCTGCAACACTCATGAGAAAAAGCTGCTCAACGGTGTGGTCGACGCAAACAGCATCCGCACCACATTCAACGATGTGCATGTGCCGCCCGAAACCATTGAGGCCCTGAAGACCCTAACTTCTCTGTCACTTATCCGTCCTGAGGCATTCACCTATGGTGTTCTTTCCACCGACAAGATCCCCGGTCTTCTCTTGTACGGACCTCCGGGTACTGGTAAAACACTCCTCGCCAAGGCCGTGGCCCGCGAGAGTGGTGCTACCGTGCTCGAGGTGAGCGGATCTGAGGTGTACGACATGTACGTCGGCGAAGGCGAGAAGAACGTGAAAGCGATCTTCACACTCGCCAAGAAGCTCAGTCCCTGCGTCGTCTTCATCGACGAAGCCGACGCCATCTTCTGCTCGCGCACCGGAGCCAGCAGCCGCACTTCCCACCGCGAACTGATCAACCAGTTCTTGCGCGAGTGGGATGGAATGAATGACCTTTCAGCATTCATCATGGTTGCCACCAACCGACCCTTCGATCTCGACGATGCCGTTCTCCGCCGACTGCCCCGTCGACTCCTAGTCGATCTGCCAACCGAGGACGACCGCCTCGCAGTCCTGAAGATCCACCTGAAAGAAGAACAACTCGACGACTCCGTCGATCTAGCCGAGTTAGCCCGTCGCACACCCCTGTACTCAGGCTCTGATCTGAAGAACCTGTCAGTGGCAGCCGCGCTGGCATGTGTCCGCGAGGAGAACGAGGCAGCAGCCAAGCACACAGGCGACGAGCCATACACCTACCCCGAGCGCCGCATTCTAACGCGGGCTCATTTCGAACGTGGCATGGAGGAGATCAGCGCTTCTATCAGCGAGGATATGTCATCTCTATCTGCCATTCGCAAATTCGACGAGCAGTACGGTGACCGCAAGGGCCGGCGCCAGAAGAGCGCTGGGTGGGGATTCATCCCTGCTCCCAGTGGCGAGGCTGCAGTTGATTCCGCGCGTGTTCGCGATTGATCTTTTATTCCATTTGATTTTCTTCTTCGTCGGCTTGTTTTGGATTGTTTTGTTTGGAACCCGGGGGCTTTTCCTTGTGTACTATTAGCGATATGATAGACCTGTACCAATAGTCAAACGTATATACTGCCATAGGTGGGGCATTTGGCATTTACGCAATCATTTGATGATCAATCTGTTCTTATTTCCCCCTTTGGAATGGAGTTTGCCTAGTGAAGGGTAGTGAGTGTAAGGTCGAGCCCCAGGCAGAGACGTTTGGGGTCTTGCACGGTTAACTCGGTTCCTACATCTACGTATGCGTTGCGGATGTCTTTTGCTCATCTTTCTTTTCTTATGGATTAGCCTAATTAGGCAGCAGATAGAAAGACAACTTGAATTGATGCTTGGGGGGTAGGTATATAAAGAAGTAGACCGATGCCTCTTTCTCGCTTTATCCTTGACATCACCAGAAATCCCTTCTCTCTGTCTAATCAACAATTTTCTTTCTCCTCTTCAGCAAAATTCGATCACTGTCAAGATGTCGGTACGTACTCGCCTTCCAAAGAGTGAGTATCTAGTTGAAAAAAACTAACATCTCACCTCCATAGAATCCATCCGGGTACTTGGAATCCGCAATAAATCTTATCTACTACTCATAAGATGACAGCGACTGACAAACACATCCCCAGAGTAACCATCACAGACGAATGCATCGCCGCATACAACCAACTCCGCTCAGGCAGACGAACCCCGAAACCAAAGTTCATCATCTACAAAGTCTCCGACGACACTACGACCATTGTCCTGGAGGAATCATCCCCGGAGACAGACTACGAAGTCTTCCTCCAGAAACTTTCTTCTGCGCTTGACAAAGATGGAAACCCGGCTCCGCGGTATGCCGTCTACGACGTGGAATATGATCTTGGGAGTGAAGGCAAACGGTATGAACAGTTTATGCTAAGCTGAAGGCTGGGACTGTCGCTGATCGTTTTCATTGTGTCTGTAGTAGCAAGACTATCTTCATTCACTGGGGCCCCAGTCATGCACCGATCAAGGTATACTTCCAGGAGCTACCCTCTCTCGCGGATATATATCAGCTAACAAAAACAATGATAGCTTTGCATGCTTTATGCCTGTAGCAAGGAGCAATTAAGAAAAGCTCTTGACGTCAACGTCTCCATTCATGCAGATAGTCTGAATGAGCTTGAGTGGAAACTTGTGTTGAAGGAGGCGAGTGGGGGTAAGGCATAGATGCACAGATGCACGCTTGTTGGGAAGTGATCAGCGCATAAGCAACAGGGCGATGGGTTGAGCTCGGTATTTATCCACCGGAAATGAAAAATGATGGTTAATTATTAGGGGGATGTTGGTCCTAGATTGCTCATAAGTCATTTTTTATTAAATTCTTAATATCCCTTGGTGGCGGGGGATATCCCGCTACTATGTAGAACTGTAATTTAGTTACCAAAAAGCAAAGCAAATGCAAATCTTCCTATAGGGATAAGAGATATTGACATGGTCTGTGTCACGCCGACTTGGCGTTGCGTCCGTCCACCGAGCTCAATATAAGCGAAGTCTATACTTCGTAGTTCTCGGGTTGTTGCTGGTCAATCGCTTCGTATTACCATATTTAGCTCGGGAAGATGGTGTGGTGTCTAGAAGATGACCTAAAATGTTTATTAATGGGTGTTTAACTGGATCGAAGGTATATAGAGGCACTCGGAGAGTATCTAAATGAAAGAGCAGCCCACACGATATACAAGTGGCAGAAGCATCTCCGCATTGGGGCACGTGCCATATGACATCGCGTCTGATCATTCCGCCACCTCCTCTCTCCCTTGACTGTAGAGGGGATCTCCTAAGATAATCCCGATCTCTTTCTCCTCTATTCTCTGCATCCTTTGCATCCCCAAGTAAATCTGGGGTGGGAGTGCACGGGCGATCGAGAAGGAAAAAACCTTACAGCTCCCCACTTCACCCGCACAACCCCCCACATCACCGAGGTCGCGAAATGATGGCGACAGGGTCTCGCGACGCCTCAGTTCGTGAGGCCAAACTATTCGTCCGAGAGGTCGTCCGCAATGACTGGGAATTTGACACTGATGTTCCCTCCGCATCCTCCGCCGACGGTACCCTCTGCCATAACCGCGAGGTGGTCGAATGGCGAGTACGGGAATTCGACAGCCCAACTTCGGAGCTCGAGGCGCAGAACTCGGATACAGAGGACGATGATGATCCGTCCGCGACTGTAGGGGATGTCGCAATCGAGCGCCGTCGCAAACGTCGTCGCCAGATGGACGAGGAAATGGCTTGGAACGCGGGTCTGCGCGTGTGGATGGCTAGGCGCAATGCATGGTCTGGAGCTAAGACCCGGCGGCAGATACGGGCCGAGGAGGAAAAGCGTGCCTTGGCTGGGCAGGCGGACACAACAGATCAATCGGATACCGGTTCGTCGGCTACCTCCCCCAGCTACAACTTTGCCTGGTCGAAGCACCGAGGCTGTTGGCGCATCCGATCTGGCGATGAAAACAGAGACGTCGCTCTCTATTCAGGACCAGGAGAAGAGTGAGGAGCTTCAGCGCCCAGCGGAGACGTCTGGGCAGCAAGCGGATCTTGAGGAAGGGCAATCCGTCACCCTAGACGAGGAGGCCAAGCCCAATGCTTCTATGGGAACAAATATCACAGACCCGGATCATGTTTCCACGGATCCTAGTCGCCTGGCCACACTCCCTGCCGTGGAAGACCAAACAGAAGAGGAAAAGGAAGAAGAAGAGCTCGACGAGCCACTCCTGCCAGTTGCACCTCCCTTCATTTCTGACGAGAACCCTGTCCGCGCAACCATCAACCCCGCAATCTACCCATCAATCTACACTAAAGTGGTTGTACAAGGCATGACACCCACAGTGCCTGTCAACCTCGCCCATTTGACCAAGGCTATGGTTCAAGGCTGGAAATCAGATGGCCAGTGGCCACCCAAGCCAGCGGCGACATCAATTGTCCTCGCAGATGACGCCACTGTACCCAAGAAGTCGGACCCCCCTGCCAATGACGCCCCCCAGGGGAGAAGAAAGAACAGTATTACAAACGCGGTGAAGAAGGTCTTCCATTTTGGGCCCTTCCACCGACGTGGTTCGAGCAGTCATGATGCTGGGAACGGGGCTGGCGCTGCTGGTTCCGCTGTTTAGGGTCAACAGAAAGGGTACCTAGCATACTTACCTTATTCTGCTGCATATGAATTATTGCATACCGATTCCAGGTTGAAGCTAATGTGGATCGAGGGGATTCATGCATATGGCCGGTGGTCTTCGCTTTATTTGGCGTCTTTTGCGGTGATTTTTATATCGGTTTCCTGTTTATAATCCGGGCATGTTTATTGTTTTTAGCTTTGGACAATGGGGAAATATCATGCATCTGCCTAATTTTATAAGCTTCCTAAATAACACACGATCTATATCGATCTACTCAAAACTAAATCACGTCTATTGGATTCTTGCTTGTGAGTCTTCTAATCAGGATATCAAGCTATAACGTTTGACTCCGCTGCATCTCGACAAGAATGAAACCACGGAGGCAAATCCTTTCTCTTGCTCAACGCAGAGTACATTTATATCTTGCCCTGTCTGAGTTCCCAGGCCTTGGCGATGCCCTTTTCGGGTCTTACTCATGAATGTCCGCCCATTCATTCTCCGAGACCTCAAAGTCCGGACGAAAAAAGTAAGTTCTTCTTTTCAAGTTCTCATCGTCGGAAACAAAAGTATGGTTTGACAGAGCTGTGATTATGCTCGAAGAAGCAGGTATGGCGCTGATTCCTCGGGACCTGTCTTTAGAGTCGAGATACATGGCAGTGGCAAACCACCTATAGCTGTCGGAATTATGCACGGCGTCGGTGACACTTGCGGAGGCAAGCGGAATAACATTCTCAGTCCCGTAGGCCACTTCTGTAACTCCATTGATAACTTAAGGACATCTTTATGTTTCACTCCTGTTGTGATCAAATTTATAAGCTTTGAAGAAAAGGCGATCCCATACTGAAGCCAAATATGGAGCAAGAGAGAGGGATACACCGATTAAAATGCATAGACTGACCATCAAAATGACAATGTGGCATAACTCGTGCAGAAGTACACGGGGTGTGGACGTTGCCATTTTTAATTTTATGCCAGCGGAAATAGTCTTTTGCCCCAGTACGCTAGGTGCTGAGTGTATTATTTCTGTTAGGCCAATTCCAACTGCCTGGGCACATTGTGATTGCACCAATGTTGTTTCCCCTGTTGGTAAATGCCAGGGTTTGTGCATTAGTGCATCCAGGATCCGTTCCGATATATCTCCTGAAAAGAGGAGACCACCATATCCATCCTGTTCGAGAGAAAACAAGTTAGATTGATTTAGGTATGGATCACTGAGTTGAACTGGCTTTATTAACTTACCCAGGGGGGCAGTAAAACTGGCACCTGTCTGTTCTCCATCGGATTCCCGATAAACCATCAATGTCTTTCATCGCAGCTATCATCGCAGAAGATTCCGGGATTGTTGCAGTCCTTCGCCTCGGTGGAATCCGCAGTGGCTTCGAATATACCAGCATGAACCCCATTTTGTATCAATTCTTGGTTCGATCATTGCTATAACGATTAAGAAATGGTGCCCAAAACCAGAGTCCAAGCATAAAAAGTACGAGCAACATGGATAAATTGCACAGAGTGGATTTCTGATACAATTGTAGGAGTAGTTTTGTCCGCCTGAATGCCGAAGAATGAGGCAACAATACGCACTGTAGCACTGTTGGCATGGTCATATATCTGGGAACATCACAAGAAAGGGAGATGGATGGGCCTCTCGCTACGTTTGTCGTAGCCGATCTTTTTCTTTATTTAACCATCGGACAGACATCTTCATCCAATATTTCCAGATTTCCTCTCGAGGGTCTCAAATGATCACGAGCTCGGGAGCATTCTAGTAAGCAGTTGCTCGCCACGAAGTTTCCTCCATCTACGTCTCGCTGGCGTTTGTCTTCACTGTCAGTACTGACCTTGGTTTTACCCACAGCACCTTGAACTGCATGACTCTCGTTTCGCATATCGACAGCAAAAGCTTCAGCATGTGACTCTTGCCCTGTCACCATACATCTCAGTGCATACCCATCCTTTATCTTAACTATCCCATTATCACCGGTTATTCGACATTCTTTTCTCATCGCTTAGAGAGCCTCCCTTCCCCGGTTTCGGTATCCCATGAATTGGCACCTTAGGTTACACCTTCCCAGCATCTATTCCAAGATGACCGATGAATACATTCCATGTTCGTCCTGTACGAGTCAAGATTATGATGAGTGCCTGTGTTGTTTCTGCTCGACCTGCGGGGAGTTCGGTCACACTAAAGACCGTTGCATTCACACAAGATGCCACGATTGCCATGGATGGCATGACGCTGATGAATGTCCTAGAGACATGGAACTCCGGGAATTGCGATTTTCTCTACCGCGACCCCATGCTCTACCTGAGTCAACAGGTCACTTTCCATCTGCCGAATTGGAGACTCATGCTCTTGTACGTTATTATTTTCCACGTTGATTCAACCAGAGATTACAAAACTAACATTTTATGCGATAAAGGGCGGGCAAATCAAGCCCCAGACAACAGAGGCGATTCCCATGGCGCCTTCGGTGCGGCACAATAGTCTTGGGGTTGTTGATCGTCTATCAATCCTGCGCTATCTTGTCTCAAAGACCAAGCAAAAGTACAACGACAGATACTCTAAGATTCTAAACTCGGCACATATGGATGTTGAGACCTTACTGGATAATAACTTGAGTCTTAGTGTGAAAGAACTCTGCGACAGAGGGCAGTTCACTCTTTCCAGGTATGTTCTCTTCCTAGGTTCAGTATCCTTGGGTTATTAACGATGTTTTGAAGCCTGATTGCCCTTGTTGGAAGCCCAGAAAGCTCCCAAGAAGCCGGAGTCTACCTTCACATCCTATGGAGGCAGAGTATACCCAGCTGCTTTTGGCTATATGTTGGGCAGGCTGGAGGTTTCTGTGTAAGAATCGGCACACACAACAACCCGTGGCGCCGACAGCGACAAAGGTCGTTACATTACACAATATGAAATTCAGAAAGTGATATGGAATCGGTATTCGTCAAACTTGCTGTGCATGACGCCTTCAGCTCCGAGGAAGATCAATTATTACTGAACCTCCAAGAGATGTGGACGAGCCTGGTCTTCCAAACTCTTAGGGGTTTCCATCTAGATGAGTTTTTGCCACCTGGTTCGAACAAGCTATGGGCAGGAAATCATCTGAACGTTTCCATACCGCTGTGGCAAAGCTTCACTGCCATTCCAAACGCGGAAACCAAAGGAGGAAGTCTCGCTTTCAAAGAGTATCTGTGCCACAAGGACCCAGCTGTACGCCATTGGACTGAAGATGCCCGTGATACCTTTAATGACCTCCGCAACTCCCCAGATCCTCTTCTCCGTCGTTATTATCTGGAACTCAACCAGGGAGCCCGGAATACTGCGCGTGCAGCATGGGAGAAGAAGAAGTATGACGAGCTACGAGAGTACCTATCAGGGAAAGTAGCAATCGTTACAGAGAGCCATGATGGGGAATTAAGTGAGGTCAGCGCCGGAAGCTTTCGATTTACAATTTCACGAAAGCTGGGCTTGAATGTCGATGGTGGTGACAAGGTCTTGCTCAAAATGCATTTAGCAGTGACTAGCCCTCATCCACTTGCCTATGCCCATAAGGCGAGGTTAGACGAACCTGCAAGTCGATTGGCAGTGTCTATCGAAGGAGTACGTGGGGATTTCTTTGACTGGTTGACAACAAGTGGGAACCTGAATTTCCAAAAGACGAATTCGTTGGTGGATGTTCTGGAAGGACTGACCCTGGAAGAGAATGAATCTCTCCCGCGGCGCTGGCATGTGAGGCGCATGATTCCGGGAGTAAGAGCGTCGAAGAAGCATAAATATACCTAGCTCGTTATGCCTTTTCCAAATATTTTCGCAGGAGCCGTCAAAAAGTCGAAGGGGTTTTAATTCGATGGGTCAAAAAAAGAAAAAACAAAAAAGATAGACATAGCATGTCCTGGTTTCGATCCAGGGTCTGGTTGACCGTTAGTTGGATGAATCGAGTAATTGACGGAGTCGGTGAAACATACCCTCCGGGTTATGAGCCCCTGTGTAATTGGTTAGTGGAGGTTCTATTGTGGGTCCAGACATTGGACACTTACGGCGCTCTTCCCCTGAGCTAACATGCTGGGATTGGTGGAGGGAGATCGGATTTTGACCTCATAAGCCAGACACGTTAATATAAATCCTAACGCAATTAAACGTACGGCCCTTGGACTCTTTCTGCCCTCGGCTTGTATTTCTGGCTATGTACTTTATAATATATTTGTCTACTTTTTCTTGAATTTTCGCTTTGAATCCTACTTCTTGGTGCTGTTATGGTAACATCTCAGGCAATTCCAAACATGCCTCGAACAATATATATTGTGTGTGTGCATGCAATCCGATCAACACGAACAAGTAGGGAAACAAAGCTGGTACATGATTAACTATATACAGTCATTTCACACAATTGCACGAAAGCTACCAACTAAACGCATCATCTCCCACCAGCCTGAATGCCTCCAAGCCTTCCTCCCCGACTAGCAGGGAAATTGCGCGCACTCAACAGCGCACCCTTAACACCACGAATATCCGCCCTGAAGCCAGAAATGGCATCCTCTTCAGCCTTACGCAGACCGGAATTGTTATCCGACCCAGATGTATGGGTGGCGTTCCACACACCGTACGTTGATCCCGTCGAGTACGCCGGAGCACTATAGATCAAGCCATCGCAGTAGTGATGGAGATCGGAGAGACCAGTGCGCATTTTGCTATCAAGAGAGCTGGCATCATTCTCCGAGTCAATGATGCCTCGCAGCTGTGAGGTGATGGATTGGATTCGGCTGACGTGGTTGTTAACTGCAGTCGTCGGCGTTGCGATAGCCGAGTCTGCTGAGTTAATCGGATTTGTAGTGATGGGTGCTGGTGTTGGCTCTGGACTAGTCTGTGTTGCGATGTCCCGGTGGAAGAGTTCTGTTGGGTCGGAAGTGATGGAGTCGGTGTCGTTGGCCTCCTCTTCCTCGTCGACGTGGGGCTTGGTCTTGCGCGCTGTGAGCTGGGGCGGGATGGCGGAGACTGTCTTCTCGAGCTTCTCGTTCAGCTTCTGGAGATTATCCTCCGCCGTAGTTGCTAATTCGTGCCGTGCGCTTGTTAGGTTCGCGAGCATTGGTTTCACCAGGTACTCGCTTGCGCCGTAGATGCTTGCTCCTAGACCGGCTGCTCCATAGAGCGTATAGAGGAGACTGCGCATTGTGACCAGGGGCGGTGGCTTGTTCGACTCGAAGAGGAATTCCGGGTAGGTTATTATGGGAGGCACATCGCGGGAGGCGGTGGTGGGCGCTGATGCTAGGCGCTGTGGCGGCATGGTATTGGTATTGGTAGAGGTCGGCGTAGATGTGACAGGAGCAGAGGGAGTGTGTTCAGGCCGAGGGGATGAGGCGGGTTGTGTCTCTTCCTCCGTCTTATCAGCGGCCGGGGTCGAGCTGCTACTTGCCTCCGCGCCTCGGGAGACGCCGAGGACCTGCTGAATGTCCTCGGGGCTCAGACCTTTGGACTCAAGGAAGGTAACTTTGCGGTCTGTTGGTTTGTCCTTGATTGACTCATCTTCCAGGAATTTGGATGCTTGTGCTAGCAGGTCTTCTCGGGATGTAGTTGAGGGTGCGGGCGCAGCGTCGGAGCCCGGCGCTGACGATGGCGATCCATCTGCCGTGCTGCTGGCCCTTTGCCATGAGGGAATGGAAGATTTGGGTGTGTCGTCTGGCATTATGATGAGTCTGAGTCTCCAGCGAGAGTGATGAGGAGGCTAGAGTGGAGGGGACAGGCTTCCCCGGACTTGGAGCCATGTGAGCCCGACCTCGGCTGTTGCAACATCGGTCTACGCCTCAGGCACCCACAAAAATATATAGTTATTCTACGTTCTTACGTTTTTCATTACAATTTAACTTATATGTTGATCTCTTGCTAAGTTTGATTAAACCGAAATTATATTGATTATGAAGAGCTGAGTTAGAGCTGAACTGTAGGCGTGAGGCAGATACAGCCTTCGAAACTAGATAGGTGAGACGAACCCATGCATCTGACCAATGTCCATAGAATACATTGAAAGGTATGAGACTCAGCTATTCACAGAATTAATCAATCAAAATGAATACTTTAGCTAGCAATTGAAACTGAACAAACCCGTAAACCCCGAGATATAAAAGCCACCGCCCGGCAGAATGGCTCGGCCAGTACTTCATTCGCTCAACGTCAACACAAACTGAGACGGAAAGTACAAGTGAGTATGTGCCCCCGATTCCTGCTATTTCCTTTACACTCTGCTCTGCTCCCTTAAGCATGGCGGTATCGGCATCTCCTAGGGGACAATGCCACCCTGTAGCGCTTTGTTCCTTTGAACCGTGGCGTCCAGGACCTGTGCCTCCCCGTTTGCACCTCCGCATCGCATCCTGTAGATGAGGTGATTGGACGGGGGATATCTTTCCTGCCTCTTCCAGGCATCCCCCGACTTCCCGATGGTTTAAGTCGCTACTGCCACACACTTATCAATTATTCTATCCCGCATCTTTTTCTCTGTTTTCTGCACTCCCACAAGCCCCCTATCGCATTGGGCACCATGTCACTCCGCCGATCTCGTCGATCGCGAGGCACAAAGGATGAGATAGCAGAACCGGACGCTAACATGAGGACCAGATCAACAAGACAGACCCGTGCTACTACTTCATCTGTATCTGTATCTCGGTCTTCATTGGACTCCACTGGAGAATCAGTCAGATCACTCCGCCTGACAGTGAAAATGCCCGCCAACAGACTACGGGAAGCGACGGGCAGTGGCCGCGCCGCGCGCCGCTCTGTTAATGTGTTTCGGGAAGATCCCATCGTGTCGGGACCCCGCTCCAGTCGGAACCGAAAGAAGATCGTAGAAGTTGCTACGAGCGATGAGGAAGAAATCGGCGACCAAGAGGAAGATGAGGTCGACGATGAGGATGCACCTGGAGATGACGACGATGAAGATGACGCTGACGGCGACGTCGATATGGATGAGACCCCACCACAGCCGCCTGTAAGGCGCGGCAAGGCTGCTCCTGCGCCTCGCGCAAAGCCTCCCAAGAGTGTTGAGGCAAAGGAAATGGAATTGGATGAAGATGAAGAGGAAGAAGAAGATGAAGAGGAGGAGCAGATGTCTGACTCCGACGAGGATGCCGAGGGTGAGGTTGAAGATCAGGACGAAAGTGGAGTCCCGGATGTCACCGTCGATGATATGGATGACCTCGATGACGATATGCTCGATGAAGAATTGGAGGGCGAATTCCTCGATGGCGGCAAGATGACCAAGCGTCAGCGAGGGAACCTTGGCAATGATTTCTTGCAGCTCCCTATGGGTAGGAAACACCATGAATAAACGCGCAAAGGGTGGATCTGACTAGTAAACAGAGCCCCAAGTCAAGAAGCACTTGACAGCGGAAGAGCGTCAAATGCGCCGTGCAGAGATGGCTCGGCGACGGAAGAACCTGAGCGAAAAGCGCAACGAAGAGGAAAAGGTATGCGTGTGAAGTTCGTGATGGAAGAGCTTCTGCTAACCATGAGAACCAGATGGATACAATCAATCGACTCCTCAAGAAGCAGGCCCCGAAACGACGTGGTCGTGCCGCGGCAAACGAGGCCGCGGATGGCACCCCCGCCGGTCAAGATGTCTCTGAGCCTGAGAAGGCCGACCCTATTTTTGTCCGATGGGTCAGTGGCCCCAATGGCTGCAAAGTCAACGTGCCAGAAGAATGGCTGGGCACACCTTCCGGACGTATGTTTGGCGCCCCTCCAGCCGACCCTGCGGGGAAAATGGTTGGAGAACTTTGATGCTATACAATGCAGTTACAACGGAACGGCGCTTTGAGGAAATATCTTAATACGGCAATCGGGACTGGGTCATTTTCATTTGAAAGGGAATGGCGTTCAAAACATGTGTTTATTTACGAACAAGCTTGAACCATGCAATTCATCATATTTGACACTCCAACTACACCGTCTTATGCGCCGAATGAGCCATATCATAGCTCTTATATATATATATATATATATATAGTTTAGCCGACAAGGAGGCATCATATAGCACTCCGTGCTCCCAATCCAGTTAAGTCCGGAGTACCCTACCAGCAAGTACTTCGAAACTGACACTTAAATCAATCCCAGATGTGCCAGTCAGAAAACCGGGCAAGTGCAATGCAACACTTATGCTACCCCAAACGCCAGAGTCTCGGGGAAGAACACGATATCCAATGAAGAAGTCAAGCCATCTTCCGCGTTCAAAAGGCCAATGCCACGGAACACCCAAGCTCACTGTCTCTCGGTTGTTGACGTAGCGGCGTCACCCTGAGGAGTGGGAGCATCGGCTTTCTGCTTTGAAGCAGAAAGATCTGACAAAGTAGCAGGCTGACGGTTCGCGTTTGCCTTCTCGTATTGTAGTTGCTGGAAAGTCGGTTGGAAGGTGTAGTAGCCTGCAGATCGGAAAATTCGGGGTTAGAAAACCGGGTTTTGGAGATAGATCTGGCTCTTTGAGAGAGCAAACATACCTGTGAAAACACCGACGCCAATGGCAAGAAGGGCAGGGACGAAATTACGACTCATTTTGTGTATTTCGAGGGAACTGGGAGGTCTGATGGGCTTGGGTTCGGGGACTGACAGAGTTCGGAGGTGATGCGGGAGACGTTATCAGTTGGCTGATTAGCGGCGCGTGAAATCGTTCCTTCACTACGCGTCGAATTACAACGAGACCATTACGAACATTGTCTGGCGTTTGATCCTGGTGCATTTCGTGATTTCCAGCCCGAGAATTCTTTTACGCCCTATTTTGACGCTCTCCAATGACTTAATAGAGACATGGGCGATCCCCGCCAAGGATGCAAATGGAATCATGGCGGCAACGAGGTTATGTCCCCGACTCGGACTCGGACGAAGAAGATGGATTCGATTCGATAGAGGCAAAGAAGGCAACTCTCGACAATGGCTCTGATGTTCACGATCTCGACTATATCTCTATCCCCATCCCTGCGTCGAAGCCGAAGTTGAAGGAAGGGACGAACGGTTCAACGGAAGAGCAGCACGAAGGGGATGGTGCTGAGGAAGGCTCGATTACACTGTTGGATGTTGAGGAGCAGACTCACCGGGACTCGCCTGAGAAAGGTCTTGGAAACCAGCAGGCTACGAAGTCTAAGGCCGAGGACGAACGGAGAACTATACACACAGAGCCCGAGGGAGGGACTGAACACGATGGAAATGAGGGGATCACGCCAGTCCGTCGACGAGGGCGCAAGACCTACGGTACCCGGTCGTCGGCTACGAAAACGAGGAATCGTCGCAGCAGCGAGCTGCCCATGGCCCCGGCGACGAGTACAGACAGAATATACGATTTTCCGGAGTCCTCGCAGGAAAAAGACAAGCCTTCATCGAAACCTGCAAGTCAGGAGTCCACTCCGAAAGCTTTGAAGCCTGGACGGCTGTCACCACCACGAGTTATAACAGAGCCTCAGACGCCCAGGGCTAATATTCGGGTTGAGATTCCGAGATCTATTAGCTCCTCGCCAGATGAGCTGAGCCTGGTTCCTATGCCTACCCGGAGGAAGACGCCTGTGGTCAATCGTGTCCAGCCGAGAGAGGTATCGCCACTTCCAGCATCGCCGCAAGTGAACTCGGACGATGACTCCCCGTTGTCTTCTGTGCCGTCCTCGCTTGGCTCAACGCCAGGCCGCAACCCTATGGAGAAAGAGGTGGTAAATGGAGAAGAGAAAGGAGACGCACAGCCACAGACAGCAATGCTTTCCGATCTACAAGACACGCTAGATGACCTCCTGCCTCATCTGGATATCCCTGAAGATGTCTTGCGGGAAATGCCTCAAGCAGAACAAAGAACATTTCGAAAGCGCAATGCCATCCAGTTGCAGCCATACTACTTTGAACAGCTAAAGTATGCGCAGCAAATGAAAGCGCGAGGCCTCAAACCGATTCGTCAAGCTGTTCCCTCGCAGGTACAGCAAACTACAGATGAGAGCCAAGGGCAAGATTCATTCGACCCGAACATGCCTCCCTCAAGCCCTCCCCAGGAGGAGTATCTTCTGCCTGTCAGACCAGAGAAGCCGCGAAATTCTGTTAGACAAGATCGGGGACATATTAACCCTGAAACACCTCGAAACTTGGAAGCGCATATGGTGAAACGACGGAAGATCTCACACTCTGGCACACCTCGTGCCCGTCGGGATCGCTTGCACAAGCCGTCTAAACCTCGCGGAATCAGAGATACAGCCCCCCAAAATCATGGCGGCCCTATCGCTTATGATCTTTCATCCAGCCCGCCACACACAGGCAGCCTATCTTCTGCATCAAAAACCCCTCGGGCATCAGTCGGGTTCCGCTTTCCTCGCGGATGGACGCCACCACCCGGGGTCACAAATCCTAGGGCCCAGGAAGAAGAGAAATCGGATGAAGACGAGCCACCTGGGCCAGGTGCTGACCACGACGACGAGATACAATCTGTCTCTTCTAATAGCCAGCCGAGTGACCGTGAGCAGAACCAGGCGGATGCAGAAGAACGTGCCATTCGACGAGAGCAACGGCGAATTCGGGGAGTCCTTCCTGCGTCATGGTTCAGGCTTGATCAAAAAGCCAACGAAGATAAAGCAAAGCCCTCACAACATGATCGACATGTTGGGCACCGCCCAGAGGGGAAAGGTGTTGCACGAAAGTTGGTTCGGAGAGGCGATCGCTCGAAACCAGCAGCCACACAGCAGCCAACCAGCCTCTTTGATCTTGGAGACTCTGATGACGACGAAGGCGACCGCAGCGACAACAACAGAACGGCGCCTATTATCGATGGCCCCAGCCATCTGTTAGCTGGTACAGCTCACTCCGAAGACCCCTTTGCGCTGGAAGCAGGTGATATATCGGAAGATAATCGTATCGACTACATGTTTGCACCAGCCCTACGCAACACCACTGGAAATCGATACAAGCGAAAGAGCTTGAAAAGGCCGCAATCGAAAGAAGGCGTGACTCACGGAGAAAGGCAGCGAAAGAGGCATAAGCAAACTCGGATGACCGATGCTTCGTATGGAGGACGGAGAACAAAGAAACCGTCGACTGTTTCACGGCAACGCTTAGGCATATTAGATGCACCAGATGTTGCTACACAGTCTCGCAAAGAGCAACCACATTTTCTTAGGGTTGCAGCAAGATGTGCACGCTCCCGCCGAGATGGAGGCAGACACAGCCCTACTCAAAAATTCTTGAAGCTAGCCTCAAGAGCTGACACGGTGGATGCAAATGAATCCTTACAAGACTGGAAGAGGGGAGCAATTCGGCAGTCCAGAATTAGTCCACCACAGCCTAGGGCTCGCATGCGTCAGCAAGCACCAAAGAAGCCGTCAATTCTTGGTCCTCGTGCTGTACCAAACGCTGGCCGGGTAAGAAATACTCGAATAACCAATCACTTTCCCACAAAGGAAGATGAGGTTGTTCCACGGAGCTATCCTGCTGAACTGTCACAAGCGTCACCTGAATCTGGTGCAATCTCAGTGGCGTCGAACCGAACCCCTGAGCCAGAATCTTCTCGCCGTCAGCCAGAACAGCGAGGACACACCTGGGTTATTCCTAGGAATACTGCAATCACTTCCTTGAAAAGGAATGCCCCTCGGCCTGCTGTAACGAGTTCGGCGGGCCCTGGTGGGAGCAAGAAATTGACACCGGCCGCTTTCAACCAGTCACTATCCCTGATCAACCGACATTATCGCAACCAACGCACATCTCAAAGTTACAGGCCCAGCCTGACTTTAGACCGTTACCTTACTGACAGTGGATCGACTAGTGGTGGTGTCAATCCGTCGCCCAGACCTCCAGCTGCACCTTCAGTTGAACCAACAAATCAAGCGCCAGCCCAGAAAGCTCTTCCACATCGACGACGGCTGAAGAAGCATACTCCAAATCGTATCAATCTCGACACTGATGAGTTCCGCCAGATGCAAGACACTGCGGTAATTGTCTCTGACGATCAAGAACCTCCTACTATAACCCACATCGGAAATGCACAGCCTTCATCTTTGAGTGTTGGTGGACTGTTCAACTGGCATCGTTTCTACCCGGTCGACTTCGGTATACCATCCCTACGTGACAACACATACTTCCATGAATCTACTTTCATAGGAAGCGGGGAGTTTTCCCGAACATTGCAGCTCGCAAAGCGAAACTTGGATGAGGGTGGTAGTTCATTCTCTCTTCAAGCCAGGGACCAGACCTTTCAATGGAGCAGCTGGAACGACACTGTCTCCTCTGAAATGGGCCATGTCTTTGATGCGATAATCGACAACGTTGAGCGAAGTGCTACCACCTCACCCGAAGTGGGAACCACCGCTGCTCTGGGGGTGGCATCACGCATTTACAGGTTGTTGATCAAATACGTCACGGAGAACCTAGTGTTTATTGATCCGGTTGATCGGACCGGCTTCATCACTAGAGCCATGGGGCTGGTTTCCGTGGTCAGAGATCCCCTGGTTGCCTTTCTTTCCAGTGATGAATACAACAAAAACGGACTAGTCAAGGTTGCTTGCTTTGACGTAGTATTCTCGAACCTGATCTATCAAATTGCTTCTCACAAGCTTGTCAGCCCTGCGCTTGCCGTTGAAGCGCAAGACCTTGTTAAAGTCGCTGCCAGAGATGTTGCGGGATTGATCACATCTGATGTTGGTTCCTCTGAGTTCAAGAGGTTCCTCGACGAAAACAACAAGACTGAGCGTCGCGAATCAGGCATTCGCGATGAATACCCATCTGTGGAGGCTTACGTTGTGATCAAACACCTGCTGCGCAGCTCAGAGCAATACAGGGGCTGTTTTGAAGAACTGCAATTAGAGACCTTCAACGGTAATGTCATTCGCAATGAAAAGGATGTTAGTAGCCTGGAGGATGGATGGCGTGGCCTGTTCACGGTCTTGCCGCTCAACGAGATAGATCAGCTCGGGATTGGGCAGAACGGATACCAACTGACAGTTGTCCATGATAACTGGAGATTGGTCCAAAGACTTCTTTCTCCTGCTCTGGATCACTCCGAGGCGAACTCTATGACCCAGCCTTTCTCATACAACGGCTACTGTCGAACCCTCTTCCACCGGTGTCACCGTCTCATCAATTCCTGGGGGTGGCGAGAATGCAAACCTATCTTGGACACACTTTTTGACTTCTTCGCGAAAAACACTCTATACAATCTGAAGCTCGAGGAAGCTCGTGGGTCGCCTTCTTTCCTCGATGAACTTGATGGCAATCCATCTCTGGACGCCCGAGTTGGAGAACCGTGCTTTCACACATTCCTCAAGATCATAGCGAGTGGTCTACGCTTTCTCGCGAAGAGATATGACAAGAAAAAGATTCGAAACTTTGCCTGGCGCCTACTACCTAATCATGGCCGCGTGTACCCAAAAGAGCAACCATTGCGACACGAGGACCTCGACGCACTAAGAAATCACCATGACCTCCTGAGTACCCTGTACTGGGCTGTTCCTGATGGGTGTCGTCCCCGACTGGAAACAATACGCAATCTGGTTCACCCTGCCACCTCACACCGAGAAGCCTGCAGTATCAGTTTACGT